CGTGAACGAGATCCTGGTGATGAAGGAGTCGCAGCACCCGAACATCGTCAACTTCCTCGACGCGTACCTCATCCGCAACAACGAGCTTTGGGTGGTCATGGAGTACATGGAGGGAGGTGCGCTCACGGACATCATTGAGAACAACACGCTCGAGGAGGACCAGATCTCGAGCATCTGCCTGGAGGTGAGCTTGATAGTGTACTTTATGCGACTGTCACAGAAGGTGCTTATGACGCATCGGCGCGCAGACGTGCAAGGGTCTTGGCCATCTGCACAGCCAGTCAATCATTCACCGTGACATCAAGTCGGATAACGTTCTGCTGGATGCTCAGGGCCACGTCAAGATTAGTGCGTACCTTCTCCGTCCTCGTCATTACCCGAAAGTGCTGACGTCTGTACTATAGCCGATTTCGGTTTCTGCGCGAAGCTCACGGACCAGAAGTCGAAGCGCGCGACGATGGTGGGCACACCGTACTGGATGGCGCCCGAGGTCGTGAAGCAAAAGGAGTACGGCGCGAAGGTCGACATCTGGTCGCTCGGAATCATGGCGATCGAGATGATCGAGAACGAGCCGCCATACCTCGACGAGGAACCGCTCAAGGCGCTCTACCTTATCGCGACGAACGGTACGCCGACACTGAAGAAGCCCGAGACGCTCTCGAAGGAGCTCAAGGGCTTCCTGAGCGTGTGCCTGTGCGTAGATGTGAAGAGTCGTGCGACCGCGGATGAACTGCTTCAGGTAAGCACCTCGAGACTACGAGAACTGGTGCAGTGGTTGACGTATGCGTTCGTTGCAGCATGATTTCTTGAAGAAGGCGTGTGCCATGTCCGGGCTCGCGCCCTTGCTTCGCTTCAGGAATAAGCAGGCGTCATGAGTTCCCTGACCTTCCATGATGTTGCACGACGATCTTCGATTGGAACTTTGGACGCCCCGGGACTTCTTGCAAGTGGTAGCTAGGCGGAGTGGACCGGCTGGTCGCATCCTCGTCCGCATAATCCCCTCCTACATCTCCGCGCGTCATTCTGTCTTTACTTATCTATACCGTGTGGGCGTGGGCGTCGTCGGCATCCGGGGCCCGAGCACACGCTCCCTTTCTCCTCTCCACCCCCATCCACCCTTTCCGCCTCGCAGTAGCAGTAGCGCACCCACCTTATGCCCGACGACGACCCCATCATCCGCTAGCCTTAGCCCCTTCTCGTGCTTGTTCCCTTCCGCTCCTCTTTTTCCTCCCTCTGTCTCCCTCTCTCGCTTTATGTTGGAAAAGCTTTAGTGTACACTACGACAGCTAGATGCATATTTCCGTGCGCGTTGTGCGCACGACGCACTGCAGCATATCATGGTGTGTACGCTGTCGAATGGATACGAGGCTGTTGAAACCCTAGCACCTGAGTGAAGCATATGTACTTGTTTGAATCACCGTACCTTCTCCGTACAGGCCTGTTGAGTGCCATCCCTAGCGAAACGAACACAATTGAGCAACATTGCAGAACACGTTGTGCAACCTTGGAGCATATGCACATACTGTAGCCAGGCAACGCTAAGTGTTGTCATTCCCCACAATTGTATACTACATGCATCACAACGGTTGTCGAACTCCAAATGACACACGCACGCGCACTCAGCTCGTTATACGTGAACGATCATGTCATTGACATAAGCCCATGAAGATCATGTACGGATACAACAGCCCTTCTAGTCGCCCGATGAGTACGTCTACCAAAGAGGCCCGCAAGGGAGTAAGGAAGTAAGTAAGCAAACCAAATGTCAGAAAAATCGTACACAACAACGTCTGTCCGCGGTGATATGAAAACAAAGTATGTACGTAGAGTCCGGCCAAGAGAGTGTCGCCTGCGCCTCGGATGGCCAGGCCACTATGCTATCTACTAGAGCTACAACTGCCCCGCGCGCTCCCATCCCGCCCCCTTTCGACCCCATCCCTCCGCGGCCACCAGCTAGGATGCCCGAGGCGCGGAGCCTCGGGACGTAGAGTCGACGATAACGAAGATCACGAGATGATGCCGAGGAAAGAGAAGAGGGAGATGGTCCAGGGAGGAGAAGGAGACGCGGAAGGGCATAATTTACAAGATATGCTGGTGTGGATGGAATGCTACACGTGGATGTCCGGAACCTGCTGCTGTGTCGAGACTGGAGAGACGGCGCCCGCGTAATCGAGGCGGGCGAAAGTAGAAGTCGTGAGGCGCGTGATGGTCGGATGCGGCGTGAGGGACAAGATGAGATGCGTTCGGTCGTGAGGTCTGGATCCAGGAAGAACGAGTGTGTGCCGCGCGCCCGTGGGGGGCGCGGAAAGGGCGCGGGAGGGCCGTCGCGGGGAACAAAGTGCGCGGATGCCGCTGGGAGCGCCCGCCGGGGCGGGTCGCAGTAAAGGGTCGTCGAAACGGAGAGGGCGGGAGAAGTGGAAGAGGTGGAGGGAGGGCGGTTTCGCAGGGAGATAGGGGGTTCGGGGTCTCGCGATTACGAGGGGTGCGGTAGGATGGTAGGCGGGTTATAGGGTAGGTCTTTCTCAGACGCGTGGTCTGAGGATGCTAGATGTCGAAGTACGCGTCAGCGAACGAATTCATATGCTGCATAAAATAGATGCGCACCTCTCAAGAGAGCATCGAAGGCGTCGTGAAATCAAAGCCTGCGCTCAGGCGATGATACACGAGCCGTGGGATCCGGTAGTAGCCAGCCGGTCATGGTCGGCGAAGATGTCAACCTCGGAGGACGCAGCGGTGTCCTCCGCGGGCACAGGGGAAGCAATGACGAAGAAGGCGTCCATGGCAAGCAGCGATCAGCGTAGGATGATGATGGCAGTGAGCAAAGCAGGGGCGCTCGCTCGGGCTTGTTGTGGTGAGGATGCTGTCGGGATGATGCGTTTGCTCGGTGAGTAGCTGGGGGAGAGCTCGCCTGCGAGCTTTTATGTACGACGTCGTGGAAGGTGTGGAAGGACCGCCGCTGTCAGGGAAGCAGTTATACAGGCACAAGTGACGACGACGAGACAATAGCTCGGGCGCCACGGCCGCGCGACATTGCTCGCGCCCGCTGCGCCCAGGTCCCGTCGCGACATTGCCGCCATGCCGCATATCATGGCCGCCGCACGCCGCGCTACGCAATTGTAGGATCACCACTGAAGCTATCCGCCTCCCAACCGCAGGAACATACAGCCCTTAGAGCGCGTTTCGAGCAGCCCTGCATCGATGAAACTGGACGCGTACGCCCGCCTCGCGGCGTATCCTGAGGCAAATTTAGGATGCACGGAGCTGCTTGACACCCGCGCTCATGTATGCGTACCTCATGCGTCTCACCTTATTATCAGGCGGCGGGCTCGTGCTGGGAACCGACGCCTGCGTACTATTGTGTTGCAGCGGCCGGGGCTGATCCGCAGGACGCATTACCTCGACGGGAACGCATGACTGGGCAGCGAAGCGACGTGCGAGATCCCCGATATCCGGCCAGCACCATGTTTCAATCACTCTCGAGAACGGCCCGGGCGCGCGTCCACACAGCGAGCTTAGACCACCGCGCTGTCGGACTCGGATTCCCCGGGGATGCGAAGACAAAAAGGAAAAGGCGCCCGCGCGGGCTCGCGAACACTACCCCTTCCTCTTCGGGAAGGCGCCCCGGCCCGCTGTCTGGACTCGTTATTGTGAACGGCGAATGTGGAAACAGGCTCTTACTATCTTTACTGCGAGGGAGTCGAGATGACTGATCATCGACAACGCTGCCACGCTATCGAGAAAGCCACCTGTCTGCGTATCGGAGGTCGCGCCGACGGCAACGTCGGGCAAGCGCGCACCGAACGGCATCCCCGAGGCACCGACAGGAGACCCGACGCGCATCGGCGTGCATGCAGTCTGCGCATGACAAGACTGCGTCATAGTGCATCCGACACAATGCCACAGTCCCGACAGAACAGGAGGCGGCAAACCAAAGACAAGCCGGGTGGCTCACAACGTGGCGCAACGGCCATACCGCGTCCGTGCAAGGGTCGATCGAGTGCAATGACCATCTCGACAAAACACTGAATCGAAGAATATGGCGCCTCCATACCGGAACACCGCTCCGAAGAGGGCAGGAGCGCGGCATACGCTCGCGCACGCGCTCTGCACTCTCCGGACCTCAAGGCGGAGCAAACACAACAGTAGCTGGAGCGCAGTTGGTCACTCACTAGCGTGCAGACGTGAAGGCGATACATGCTACGACGCATATAATTGTCGACAGCCCCATGAGGCGTTAGGGCTATGAACACTCTTCAGATATGGCGATAGACGAGGTGTTGTACAACAGCACTTACGCGTCATGGTCAGCACGGATAGCACCGCAGTACGTCGGATAGAGCGCGGCGGCATCGATGCGTGCAGGGTTATACTTTTTGATGACAGCTTGTTTCAACTCCTATTCTCCAAGACCGTCAGCCGAGACACATCGGACAAAATTAGCACCCACATCTCAACATCTGACTACGCCTCCTGTGGAGGTGAGCACCATCCAGACAAGACTCGCAACGCAGGTATTGTGCTCGCGGGCGGCATGCGCCACGGAACTCACGCATCCCGATCCATGGCGTGAGGGTCGCGAGAGCATATAAGCTGCAGGGATGAGGTCGAAGGTCGTCAGCGAAGTCATCCTCGATAACTCCTCGTGTTGAGCCTCACCTCTTCGAGCATCCTCCTCACCGCCACAATGGACGCGTTCTTCACCATCGCTCCCCCCGTCCCCGTCGAGGCTCCCAGCGCCGACGCCCCCGTCGACCACGACGACTACGGCACCGGCGGCAACCACGGCGGCTGCACCATCGCCTGGTAAGTCTCGGTCACGCACTCACCACGACATTCCTCGCTGACGATCTTGCGCGTTCGCAGAGCGCTAGCTCGTGAGCTTTCGCTCTACGAACTTCACGACTTCATCGCACCCTTCGTTCTCGGGCGCATTGCCCACACAACCTTACCCTCTTCGATTAATCTACATTAACTTGCGATTAATGCGGCTGTCGTTGGTGTTAGGAGGGGTTTTTTGGTCATCGGTTTTCGATTTGGGGATCCCGCTGTATTCTTATCCTGGATACGTCCAGTGGACCATATGTATCAATACTTGACGTTGGACCATGCTGTACTGCTATGGTGTTAAGAGCCATGCTTAGAAGCGGCTCTCCTGGTAAGTGAGCTGTTCAGTACGACTGTGTTGTTCAATAAGCCAAGACGGCTTACCGAGCCACCTATGCCCACTAGACGCGTCTAAGCCCTGCGGCTCAGTGCTGTCAGGAGTAATGTCGCAGCTAGACTGAGGGGTATGTGGGGAGGATGAAGTGGCTCGTTGGACGCCACCAGGTTCATATGAATGGGCCCAAACAAGACTCGAACAAGACCTTCGGCAACTGCCGGTGTCAGTAGACAGCATATATTCAGGCGCCCGTCTCTCGTCTTGTCTCCCACCGTCGCCCGCGCGAACTGTACCCAGCTCTCTCTGCGTAATGCTACCGTGCGTCTCTTATCAATAGTCCTTGCGTGTGCGCGAATGAGCTGGACTGTGAAAGATGTTGCAAGCCGCCGATCCCGCGCATACAACACCGCCGATCGCCCTGTTCGTGCGGCGGCCCGGGCCCCGGTGCACGGAATCAAAGTGCGACTGGTGCAGGATACCCTGTGTCGCCGCGCCCAGGGATGAACATTGTTAATGAGTAGTTGTTAATTCTTTACGGTACCCTATGCTACCATTCGATACAAAGCGCAACGAGGCATCAAACCGGCACGTCTCCAAGTCCTCCCGCGCTCGCTCCCATCCTCCGACCACCGAAGAACACGAGAGGATGCTAAAGAAGGCAAATATACAATTCCCAGAGAGAGGGGATAAAGATATGAGGAGGGCATAGTTTACGATACGTACTAGTGTAGAGGTAGAATGCTACACATGTCCGGAACCTGCTACTGTGTAGAAAATAGAGAGACGGCGCCCGCGTAATCAAGACGGGGCCAAGAAGTCGTGAGACGCGTAATGGATGGATGAGGCGTGGAGTGATGCGGTTTGTCGTGAAGGGAATCTGAATTCAAGAAGAGAGAGTGCGGGTCGCGCGCCCGCGGGGGACGCGGAAGGGCGTGCGGGAGGACCGTCGCGAGGAACAAAAGGCGAGGATGCCGTTGAGAGCGCCCGCCGAAGCGAGTTGCAGTAACGAATAGTCGAAGAGGGAACTGGACGAGATGGGGAGGATTGGAAGGATGGGCGGTTTCGCGGGAGGATGGGATAGTCGGGTCTCGCGATTACGAGGGGTGCAGTAGGATGATAAGGCGGGTTGTAGGGTAGACGTTCCTCAGACGCGTATAAGGGTGCTAGAGGGAAAAGTGAGGGTCAGCTAACGAATTGCTATGCGATGTAAGAAAGATAGATACCAAGGGCATCCAATGCTTCGTGAAGTCGAGACCTGCGCTCAGGCAATGATGCAAGAGCCGTGGGTTCCGTTGGTGCCTATTGAGTCGTGATCGGCGAAGATGTCAACTTCGGGGAACGCAGAAGCGTCCTCCGCGGGGACGGGGGCAGCAATGACGAAGAAGGCGTCCATGGCAAAAGGATGATGATGCAGTGAGCAAAGCAGGGCTTGCGAGGTGCTGTCGGGCTGGTGCGTTTGCTCGGTGAGTAGCCCAGGGAGAGGTTTCCTGCTAGCTTATATGTATGTGAGAACTGGAAGGCGCGGAACTTCCGCCACCGTCAGGAAGCAATCATTGCATGCAAAACGGCGACGAAGAGACAATTGGCTCGAGCGCCACGCCTCCTGGACGCAATATGGCTCACGCGCAGCTGCGCGCCCGGGAGGTTCTGTCACGACATTGCCACCGTCGTATTGGCTATCGCCCTCCGTGCTACGCAAATGTGGACTCACCGCTCGTGTTGTTCCCCTGTTGACTGCAGTCACATACAGCTCTTGAGTACATTCCGCGCAGCCCTACATCGATGGGTGTGCAAGTGTACGTTCACTTCAAGGCGTATCCTGAGGCAAATTTGGAGGACAGGGGGCTGCATAACATTCGCGCTCATGAGCACATGCATATCCCACGCGTCTCACCTTATCATCAGGTGGCTTCGTACTGGGAATCGACGCCCGCGTACTATTGTGTTGGTCGTCGGTCTTCTACTTGAGTGGCCGCTGTATTTTTATCATGGATCCGACCAGTGAACCTAAGTTTGTGACGTTCCGATGTTGAAACTCGTGTGGCGTGAAGGACCCTTGTGGGCGAGCGAGTCACTCTCCTGAACGGGTGCAAGCAAGCCTGCTGGCCAATTAGCATTTCCTTATGTTTGTTGAGCAAAAGACCCCCAAATTACTCACCAGGCCGTCCAAACATCGGAAACGCGACCTCGCCTGCGCTGGAACCACTGGCACGGTCATCTCGTGGTGAGGATCGCAAGACCTCTGTGGCGTACCTAGCGTGACGGCGGTCAAGGTTTGTGAGATCCGGCTACAGTGCACTAGTACTCTGCACCATTGGGTGTATAATGGTAGCATATACTGAAGTAATTTGGGGAGGGTGAACGTGGTGAACGTCCTCGTCAGAGACGGCTCTCGGAAGAATCGGACAAGACACTGCATCGGCAACTGCCGCGGGGTCCAGTGCTAGGTGCGACAGGCGCCCGTCTGCCACCAACTTGCTTCTCTCGTCGACTAGTGAGCACGAACGTAAAAGTACTTTGCTGAAATCGCTGGAGTGGCGACAGCTCACTGACATTGCCATCCAGATACCTCATGATCTATTGGGTGCCTTGAATAGCTGGTTTTTAGCGCTTGGCTCAGGCCAGCTATCGCCCCGCTCGAAGGACGGCGGGAAACAAGTCATCAATGTGGCCTAGTGTGCGGCCCAGACTCCTTATTGTGAAGAGGTCGGGCAGGAGCCTCGGGGAACGACCTGCCCCCCATCCATCGCGCCCCCGACCCGCCACGGAAAGCTCACAATAACATGTGCCGTACAAGGAGAAATGCCGTCCTCGATGGACAGATACTGCCAGCTGCAGCCACCGATCGCGCCCACACAACACGGCCGATCGCCCTGTCCGCGCGACAAGGCCTACGGAATCAAAATGCAAGGCACCACTCGCCGCCGCCTCCTTGTATGCCAAGCAGTCCTGCTCTGCTCGCCGCCACGGTGTGCACTCGGGCCGACACGTCTTATTGTCAAACACTCGACATTGCACGGATTGCGGCGCCCGACAGGCACACCCTCGCGCCCCGACGGCCTCGAGCATTTGCGCCGTCATCCATTTATGCTGTCATGAGCCTGAGCTGTCATTCGCGCATCTCGACAGTATAAATATCGCCCGCGAAGACGCGGAGAAGCACATCGAACTCGCATCTCGACGCTTCGCCTCCTTCGCTTTCCCCGCGCCTTCTATCCTCTTCTTCCTCAATCGCAATGGACGCGTTCTTCACCATCGCCCCCGCCGTTCCGGAGACCTCCGCCGAGGCGCAGCCGCTCGAGGACATTCTCGTCGAGTGCGACAAGACCGGGACGAGCGGGAACAAGGGCAGCTGCATCATTGCTTAAGCGCGAGGGCCGCCTCGGTGAGTATCCACGCCCCCATATCATCGGACAGCATGAACTGACAGGCGTCTGCGACAGAGATTTATACGGAGCTCCGTTCACGACCGCGCCGACTTCGCGCGCGCCGCCGCGCTAACTTATCGCTTTCGTTCTTCGTTACGCTGGGAGATTGAGAGATTAGAGTGTATTAGTAACAGGGCCTTGTTGTTGTACCACCAGGGGAATCGGGGATGTAGCTATTTGTATCATCATCTCATGACCGGTAGCTAGTTCGCGGCGTGCGCTTTCGTCGTGCCTTTGGGGGATAAGATTGATCGAACGCATAGGTCATCATTGCGGTAGGAGTACACTTCAGCATACAATCGGGAAGTCATTCCCAGAGGTACAGTGTTGGCGTCCTACCTTACGCTTGACCGTTGCATCGAAAAGCAATCACACGAAGCAGTTGTGGACAGCGAACCGCACTATGGCGTCGCGCAGAGAGATGGTATTGCGATGACGATTAACTATGAGAGGTAACATGCCAGTGCTAAGCAGAACAATACTGAGGAAACGCAAATAAGCTACAGGACGAAAGCCGAAACGAAGACCAGCGGAGCACGAGTCTACGTGCAATAAAGATACAGCGGCAGCAGAGCGAGGGCGGGAAGTCATTTCTAGTGGTACATTGTGCGTGGTGAGCTAGTTCGATGGAGAGCAGAGAGCGGAGAGCAGGAGCGAGAGATTGTGTTGTGTGGGTATGATGCAACGTGTGTCATAACGGAAAGAGACTGGTGAGCAAGAATAGGGATAGTGGGGACAGTCTGGGAGACCTAGAACGTATGCGACTCGGTATGCACCATGATCGAGATCGAGCCCACCGAGCCCTTGCGCGCAATCGCCTGCGCACCACCCAGCGGCGGCACCGCGAGCCCCTCGCCCGGGCGCAGCAGCGGCGGCGAGAACGGGCGGTGGAACGCGGGGACGGCGATCGCGGGGGGCATCGGCCGCACCGGCTCGCGCACGGGCGTCGGCGGCGTGCTCGCGGGGCACTCGTCGGAGATGATGATGACGTGCGACGCGTCGTCGCCGTCATATACGGAGGACGCGTCGCTGTGCGACTTGCTTGGAGATGGGGGGAGGCACTTCTCGAGATCGACCTCTGCGAAGCTCTCGGCGAGCGAGGGGGAGAGCGATTCGGGACGTTTGTGTGGGGTGCGCGGTGTGCTTGAGGAGGGGGAGTAGGGCGGGAGGGAGTTGAAGTCTGCGAACTGCGGAGGTTTCCCGTAGTTCGCCAGTCTACAAGGGGAAGTGTCAATATACGCGATGAGAATGTGAGTTGCGGAGACCGGACGTACCCTGACAACTTGTTGAACGCCATCTTCTCGCTCTTGGGCTTCGGCCGGATGCCGAACCACTTCACAACCCACCAGAACGTGAGCCTGTAGTGCTTGCGCGCCTCCTCCGCGAAGCCAAAGAGGGCGAAGAAGAGGAACGCGGCGAAGATGTACACCCACTGGCCCATCACGACCGAGATGAGGAAGGGGCGGTTCGAGCGCCAGATGAACGCGGGGACCTCCTCGACGTGCGAGAACTCCGCGTGCGTGTTCGCCCAGGAGATCCAGGGCGCGAGGGTGACGCCGGCCGTGTTGATGTAGATGCTGTACGCGCCGATGGGGATCGTGCACACCATTTCGGAGATGGAGAGGAGCATGAGGCGGAAGTAGCGGCTGATGGTCATCGCGCCGCCGCTGGAGGAGATGACTTCGTTGAACTTGATGCGATGCCTCAGGAAGCTGAGGAGAGTCATGACTGTTCGGAATCGTTAGCGGCATTCGTACATATGGATAAAAATAAAGCTTACATGCGTAAACGAAGGAGACGCAGCCAATGAGAGGAGGCCACATGAAAACGAGAGGGTATGCAGGTGGCGTGTTGTAGATCTCGGGGAGGCAGCCGACACCCTCCATGATGTTGAACCTATGGCCCTGGACGACGTAGTCTGATGCAAGCGTTAGAACGATCGCACGGATTGAGCAGCGCATTTGCACTTACGAAGGATCATTACTAAAACAGGGAGGCCAACCGAGATGCAGAGGTCAACGATGACCGCTCGGCGTTTCTGACCACGTAGTCAGAACAAGTCGATCTCAGGATTCGTAACTCACTCACATCTTCTCGGGAAGTGGACACAGAGCGGACAGTGGTGATGGCGTACAGCCTGCGGTTGATACACAGGGTAGACGCAGGGATGCCAACACCTGCACCAATAATGAATTTTGTCGCTGATAACCCTGACATTAGCGCAACCTTCGCAGGCAGGAATCAAACAACTCACAGATATCGCACCACACCGGAGCAATAGTGCGGGCAGTGTCTTTCCAGACTATAGCGTTAACGAACTGGATGAGGCAAGCGAATGAGGTCCAGATCATGTAGACGCAGGTTCCAGCGTTCCAGGCTTGGAGGTGCCATGACAGAGGAATGAGTGAGACGATGAAGCCAAGGAAGGCGAAGATGGGGAGGAGGGGGTAGGTGGGGTCCGCGGGCAGCATAACGGCGAGACGTGCAGGGGAGCGCAGATGCTGAGCGGCGCGTCCGACGCCATCTTTATTAGACGGACGGGAGGCAGACGATGGACGAGCGGACAAAGGAATCGACTCGGCTTGCGGACAATGGGCTTTTGTCTGGTCACGTGATCGTGTTACCTTTATAGGCGCCCAGAACAATAGCTCTCTCGTGGACATCGTGTTCGCGTTCCTCTCAGGATCGGCGTCCTTCTGCTTGCCTGCCGACACTCGCTGGCTTTTTCAGGAGACTATCACCGCCATCAGACATATGCGTAGCTTTGGCGCGTCTTGGCGGCTCGTATAGCGAGCTGGATTCCCTTCGCCGAAGAGCGCTAGGACAACATCGCCGACTCAGACCCGGAGCACGAGTTGTCGCAGGATGCGAGTGCTTTCAGTCGGTTAGAGCTCTTGTTCTGTGCTATACGTCAAGGAGTGGTACTTTACTGTGTACCTGGTTCAATTTTGAGATGATACCTCACCTCAACCCCGACAAATTCGCCTGAGTGCATGCCTTGGCAGAAGAGGCAGGAGCGAAGACGTCGTTATGCGTGTACGAATACCACCTGTAAGCACCCACTAAGCAATGGCCGCATTTTATAGGCCTCAGACATTCGTTCGAACCCAAGAGTTGACGGAATTCGATGGGCTTGTCCCGAAAGCACTGCAAATCATCGGACAACATCAGGAAAAATCCCCATCCTTAACGAGGGCTAATGAGTGCTAATACGCGGGAATAGCCGTTTAGCTCAAAAAGTAAGGTCCGGCTTTTATAAGGGTGTGACGAGCGAAGGTTAGCTCGATTAGTGGACAAGAAGGATGGCGGCAGCCTCATATTCTTCTCCTTATTCTGACCGTTCCACTCGAAACGTCGCAGAAAGATAGAATTTATTGCACTATCGTAAAGGCATACAAATGTAGCTACAGGGCGAACAAGAAGCCTCCTACCTTTCAAATCACGGAGGGGGAGCTGTAAAGCAAGTGTGCAAATACGAACATTCGCACCTTCAGAGGGTCATTGGTCGCGCTCTAGCCGGCAAGAGAGAACACAGACATGTAAGGATGCCTCACGAGTGTCGCAACGTGCTGCGAGCGCCGTGAGACCTGAAGACTCTAGGATTGGGAAAGGCTGCAAGCTGAGTCTCAAGAAACTTTGCACGGGTTGCGAGCTTACCTCAAATGCCAGTACACGTACCTTACTTGCCGTCGCGAAAGACCATCGTAAAGGTTGGCTAAGAGAGACGGCGAGCCAACAGCTCCGACAGCTAGAGGTGGTTTAGGCCCTCGAGCGTACACTAGAAGTTGCCTTTTGAGACCGAAGACCAGCTAGAGGATTGTAAGCAGCATGTCTGAAAAGACGCAGGTGGTGGTACGAGGTCAAGATGCGTAGACGCCGAGCGTGCGCGGCGCGGGCATAAAGGCGACTGAAGTTTGGCGCCGGAGTTTAGGGCAAACGCGGACGGACTTTGCGAGATTGGTACGTCTCTAGTTCTCTAAGAACACGCGCGCCCATAAACAGTTCAACCTTCTCTGAAATTTCTATGAGCTAGATATGCTGCGCGATGCCGCAACATCCACCCGCGACGCGGAGGAACCAGACCGGCAACTTTGGACAAAATGATCAAAGTGAGCTGGTGATGATCTACTTTATTTGGCCGTAAATACTAATTAAGGCTCGTTAGGGATGGGGGTTTTTCCTGATGAAGAGCAACGAGAAAGCATATTCGATCGTTATTGATACAAATTCTACACCATCCAGAAAGCAAAGAGCAAAGCAAAAGAGCAAAGCAAAGCTACACAATCTACGGCGACGCCAACCGTGCCGACCCCAGTCCCGACCTAGTATACAACCAAGTGCCCCCAGGGCGAACCCAACACTCCACGAGGACACCAGGTCAACATAAATAGAATAAGTTAACCCGATGTCATCGACGACTACGAGCTTGAATACTACGTCAAACGCAGGTAAGCACGCGAACTGGAAGGGATAGCGCAGCGGAAATATGCGCACAGTTACGACAGCGGGGACGAAAGCGATTGCAAAGCAGAGCCTGGTCGGATCAGGCGATGGTGCACCACGAGTAGGAGGTGTTGCCGGTGATGTACTCCTGGTCGAGCGGAGGGTCCGACGGCGACGGCAGGGATGGGAAGCCGGTAGGGGATGAGGAGCGCGACGAGGGCGCGGAGTCGGAGAGCGACTCGGTGCTCTCGAGCGAGGCGAGGATGAATGAGGGAGCGGCGAATTCGTCCATGGCGGAGGACGGCGAGTACGTGTGCGAGGGCGCGAGGGCTAGGGAGCGTGCGTGTGAGGCGAGGATTTCTCTGTTGGAGTGGACACCCATTGCGATGGATCTGCGTATTTATCGGACGAGGGCGTCAGCGGTGGGCGTAATTGTTGCACGAAGCGGGCGAGGCGGTGGGAAGCATGGCAGGCACGGCCCTTCCCACAGCACCGCTCGGCGGCATGTCGGCGGCGGGCAAGTGAGGTCGGGTGCTTACAGTTTCGGGGCATGTAGGCGTATGGTGAGCAATTGCGGGGTAGCGGGATGTTTGGGGACCAACATGTGTACAAAGGCTAGTTACTTTTATAGGGCGACCAAACAATACTCGGAGCCGGATACCAAATATCGCCTAATTCGGCAAAGATCGGCGCCCGGCCACATAGCTAGGCGCCCATACATTCTCCCTGCACAGCCCTGCACTGAACCCTACTGAATGTCGCCGAGCTAAGTCTTCGTCAGTCGCAGTAGAGCAGGCAGAGCCTGTAGCGGCTGGATACTGCGCGCACATAGTCAGCGCAGAAAATCAACCGCTCAGAGCGGATCCAGAATTTACTGCGCTTATTTGGGCGGCCGCTTATAAGGGGCGGCCGCCCGCTCCGGGGAGCCTGGCAGCCTGGCGCCGTCGCCCGGTACTTCACCGCGAGGTGCTCATCCGGTTAGTCCCAAGCGACACGGCGGCCGTGGAGTATCAGCGGAATGGCGGCATGGTCTGCAGGGGCCCGCACCGTCAGATGCTCCGAGCGTTGCAAAATGGGGTGCATAAAGTACTGCGCGGCACATTACCTTGTCTTTGCGGGGAAATTCGATCGGGAGGGGTGAGAGGGAAAGGGGATGGTTGCTTGTACTTTGGGTCGACTAATTTGCTTGGGATCTCCGCTTCTTTACTAGCCGCCTGGGGCAATGTGCGGCGCGGCTTGTTGGTGTTCACGGTCCTCCACGAGAAAGTGGAATGAAATGTGTTCCACCCTAGCTGTAAATGTTGGTCAACTCAACTCGCGTGCAGCCAAAAAAAGGCGAAACACATAACTTACACATTCACCGCTAATATTCACTGAACCGCTCGGAATGGCGCTACTGGAGTTTAGTGGAGCGAAGGAAATGACACGGTAAATACCGTCACGGTGTCGGCGTCCGGGTAGGTCTAGACGTTGTATAAATGTTTAAGCACTCCCCGAGCGTCCGCATAGTGCACATGGATCTTACCTTGGCAAAGGAAAAGAGGGGAGCCCCGACGGTGAGACCCTGCAGATTCGGAATGTACATATGACCATATTTGGAAGGACACTCACGGCATACCGCGGACCATTGCCGAGGCTACACTGTACGGACACTCTTGCACTCGAAACAGTAGTAATTGGTTTTATATTTGGTGTGTTTGCTCAGGCCCTGCTCTCTGCATGCTGCAGTGACCGATGTCAGTAAATCCGCCAATCCTGGTAGCAGTCACGTAGCCTCGTGTAAACGGGCGCTTATACGCGTGCGTAGCCGCTTGGCGGACAATGGCGGTCGGAAAGTCGGGGATTTCCACGCCGGACCTGACTGCCATTGTCCAACTCAAGTAGCGAAAACTAGGTGCAAGGTTATGGGGAAGCCTCGCGGCCCCCGCAGTGCCCAGGCAACGGACCCGAGCGGACGTTGAAACGTCCACTCCGCAGACGGGCGCTTGCGCAACTCCGACGCAGGTCCAAACAGGCCGTTACCGGTGCGCAAACACTGTCGGCCGAGTACTGGACAATAATCGGGAGGTCCCGCTAAAAAGCAAAGTGCTGTGATGCACTCACCAACGATTCTTCGATCCCCTCCAAGTCTTGTTTTCCCTACGCTCGTGCTCATCGCGCTGCTCGCCGACCTTCGTCGCTCACATCTCGCAGCCCACATCTCGCCGCGCACCCACCTTTCATCCACACATCTCAACCCACACATCACCGCCAAAACCCACTCAGCTTCGCGCTCACATCTCCAATGGACGATTTCGACTTCGACTTCGCGACGATCTCCATCGCGCCCGACAATCCTAGCAGGGATGACGACCCCATGCGAGGATACGTCCCTGTCGACGAGGACAGCCAGTCCAGAGCCGGGGTGTACTGTGTGATTGCATGATCGCCCGGTAAGCATTTCCCCCTATTGTTGCATCGAGGGAGTCACTCACCTTCCGTCTTGCGTGCAGGGATCGTGCTTAATTTATGCAACTATCTATTCCCCAGTGGACTATCGGAAATGGACCTGATTCCTAGAAGTACGTATCAGCTCTCGTCGTCCTTGCCCACCTTGTCTGACACCGTGGTGTTACTTGCAGATGTTGCTCGCCTCAAATGTACCTTCGCCCCCTTCCGACTTCGCCCTGTGAATATTTCTCAATCCCCTCTTGCTTAAAGCCCAACGGCGCGGCCCATCGACTACGCGCTGCCTCTAGTGAGTCCCATTCATCCTTCGAGCGTAGACATAGACTGAACGACGTGCTGTAGCCTATATTTGTACCATTATCTGCTGCTCTGCTTTGCTCTCGTGATGCTCTCGACAAACCTCCCTTCGCGACACTTCTACCTTCTTCCCTGCGATACCTCCGTTCTTCCACCCTCCATCCCGGGTCAAATCCCGGGAACCCACCACACTCCTTATCTGCCTTGAAGGCGCTCGTCCTCCCCACTCTCGTTCCAAACCAGTATACTCGTCCCTCTTTGCTCTGCGTTGCTTTCATATCGTTGCTCTCGTTATTTATCTTGTTACGTGGCCCACTGGCTTGGGCTCTGTCCCGACCGAGCTGTAGTTACGCTTGTAGCGTCACATCATCGAGTTCCAATAAGACTATTCGTTCCATACACCAGAGACCAAAGGCATAGCATCGTTGTTAGACCCAGGGATCATCAGGCCGCAGATCGTCTAAGAGAGTATGGCGTTGAGAGGAGCGGCTCGGCGTACGCTTTTGCTTCAGCGGTAGATCGATGTTCTTGCCCCGCGCAGGAGCCCTAGCGCCGGGCAACCGCACCGAGTGCGCCATCCAAGTCGGAATTCATATGCGCGGCGTTGCAAATGTATCCGGGAGTGTTTTTAAGGAGTGGGCGTGACGAACCGGAAGACTCGAGGAAAGGACGTCGAGCCATGGTTGGTAGCCACAACGCTAAGTACTGGCAGACCTTGCTAGCCTGTGAGGGTGCGCGCCGACTCCGAAGATTTAGGCCAGTGCGAAGTAAGCTCCAATAGTCAGGCGTGTGCTGAGTGGCTCAAGTTGAAGAGAGGCGGCGGGAGAAGCAATGGCTAGTGGCGCGAAGGTGGCTGAACAGGACAAGAGCAAACAAGCGCCTACAAGCGCCCGGAGGCGCAACTCCTGTGGCAAAGCACTAAAGCAGCATGTCGCACGTTCGTCTCGGCCGCGGCGGAGGGCCGGTGGAGGAAGTCAAGCGTTGAATACGTCAGTACATGCGCTCGTGCGAACCCGCAGAGACACTAGTAAAGGGGGAAATCGCATCACAAATAGATTGAGCTAGTCGTAAAGTCATCACTAGTAAGATACAGTTGAGCTTGGTTGAGCAGAAGGCAAGGCAGTCGCGTCTACGCGCGCCGCATACATATCACAAAGCTAACGATACAGTAAACGTCCGGTCGTACCGAACCATCAGAGGGAGGAAGAGTTTCATGCAGTGGTATGGTGCAAGTTGAATGGCGTTGGCGGCTCCGACGTCTGGTCCACCTGCAGCGACACGAAAGACGGCACGCGCGCGCCGTACGCGGCCTCGATATCGCTGAACGACAACAACACCGCCAACTGCTCCGACAGGTGGCTGAAGACCGAGTCCGTCGGCGAGTGCTCGTACGTCTCCGTCGGCGAGAGCGGGGATACAGGTGACGTGGGCGAGATGGGGAAGCGGGGAAGAGGAGGCACGACGTCCTCCGGGAAGTCGGCGGGGTCGCGGCGAGCGAAGCGGTCGTATATGGGCGTGGTTTGGCCGGAGGAAGGCAGGGTGGTCGTGCTCTGGAGACCGCGGTAGGTGCTGAGAGTCTTCTCCTCCTGGAAGGAGGCGGCGGAGGACCCGAAGGAGCTCGTCATGTCGAGGCGCGGGGGCTTCGGGAAGCTGTACGGCGGCAGCGACTCCGACGCGGGCGCGAATTTTGTGGGCGAAGGCATGTTGCTGCCTGAAGGTCAGCCAAATGGAAATGCACGATAGCGACGATGATGCTCACCCAAGCGATTGAAGGCCGCTCTTCTCGTTGCTGGATCGCGGCTTAACGCCGAACTTGCCCATGACGAACCAGAACGCCTTGTGGTAGTTGCGCCTCGCCTCGCTAGCGACGCCGAAGTAGATGAAGAAGATGATGGCGCAGGCGGGGGACAGCCAGCGATTGAGCTCGTGGACGGTGATGGACGTCTGGCTGCTGCGCCAGTTCACCGCTGGGATGTGCTCGACGCGTCCGAAGTCGAAGTGCGTGTCGGACCAGCTGATCCAGGGCCCAAGAGGTTGCGTCGTGGCGTTGAGATAGATGCCGTAGATCGAGATGGGGACCATGAGGAGCAGAGAGGTCGTAGAAAGCGCCATAAGACGGAAGTATCGCCCCAGAGTGAGCGAAGAGCTCTTGGAAGCGAGAAACTCGTTGAACTGCGCCCTGCGCCGGTTGAACTCGAGAAGGGAGAGTACTGTGAAGGGGTCATCTCATCAGAGATGGCGGAATGGATGTAGAAGAGCGCGAACATACCACAGTATACAGATGCGATGAGCCCAAGTACGAGAGGCCACCAGTTTACCAAGAAATACGTTAGGAGGGTATTGTAGAGCGCGGGGAAGCAGCCCAGCTCTTGGAGAATGTTGTATCGATGTCCTTGCACGATGTATGCTGGTCATCATGTCAGCCAAGAGGCTCCGAAAGCGACTGCGAATGAAACTCACAAAGTGCCACGACGATGATAGGGAATAGCACGCATATAAGGGAATCGATGAGTACCGCACGTTGTTTCTGAGACCGGCGCATCAGGTTTCTGTACGAGACAACCGCGCTCGCTGGACTCACCTCTGCTCTCGTGACCATTACCGCCTGCACTCGGGAAATATTGTACAATCGTTGGTTGATACACATCGAGGCCGCAGGGATGCCTACGGACGCGGCGATGGTGAGGCGCGTCGCTGGAACGATGTCGATTAGAGGTACATGGAGACGATGTACAGGATAGATACTCACAGATTTCGCACCATGCTGGTGCATGATCTATCGCATCGCGAGCCCAGACAACACAGTTCACGAACTCGTTCAGGCAGGCTAGCGATGCCCACATCATGTAGTAGCACGTCGCGGAATTCCAGGCTTCGAGGTGCCATGGAAGGGGAACGAGGGCCAAGACAAACCCGAGAAAAGCAAAGAGAGGAAAGAGAGGATATGTCGGATCGACCATAGCGATCTAGCGGGAGAGAGGCTGGCGAAGGACACGAAAGCTGAGGGGACGGGGACGAGGAGAAAGGCTCGGACCAGCTTCGCACACCGCGTTTGCTATATCGTTCGAAGCATCTTTGTTCTTAGGCGACATCGGACCTCGACGCACGGGTAACAGACTGATTTGAGTGAACAAAGGGGATTGGGATGACGATGGGAAGCGGCGTGTGTTGTACACCAAGTCAAGACGCTCGACGCAGTCGCGTGCAAACAGGCGCCTGCAATATTACCAGAATAGGCGCTCGTAGGTAGCCAAACAACACCAAATCCCTTACTTGGCACCAATATTTGCACTGCTGTTTTGACCGGGTCCGTCTAGCAAGCGTCCAACGGTCAAGCGGCGCGATAATATCTGTTGTAGGTATTTCTATGTATCTTTATCTTGCTCAGTCGATTGCTACATTTTAATGTAGCTGCTTAGGCCCTCTCGCGGCCATGTGAATGTTTCGGCCGCCGTGAGCGCCCCCGGATGAGCTCGGTCTCGGCGTAATGCTTGTACTCCCGACTCGCTAACGCCATCCCGCTCTCGCGGAATTGCGCGGCGGTCTCATTGTTCACTGCATTCGGGCCTCAAAAATTGAAGGCCCCCGAGTCCCTGCACATTGTCTCTAGCAGCGTCCTCTGCATTTTCATCCCCCAGCACTCCCTCCCACTGCGTACGAGCGCATCGGCCACATCTCGCGATTGCTGCACAATAACAGTCCGAGCACCGCCTTATAGCTTCGCGGATCCATTGAGTTCCTGTACCGCACACAAACCCCCACTGCATCTTGCAAGCCCTTTGCCAGACCACGCGTCATCGCCATCGCTCCCCCACCAACTCTGCAGCCATGGACGACTTCTTCCTCATCACTGCCGCCAGCTCGACGGATACCGTCGACTCCTTCTCCCTCGACGACCCCCACTCTGACATTTCGTCTCCGTCTCCCGAGCTCTCCCCTCGAGACCGCTCTATCCTCCTCGCCCACCTCACCTCATCTGCTCCTGTCAATGAGGACCGGATAGAGGGCTACAACACCTACTGCGTTATCGCATGATGCCGCTGCCCCCGCGGTGTCCCCAACCGACGGCCATGGCTTTGGTAAGAATTTCTGCGATCTTGTCTGCGTTCGGAGATGCTCATCTTACACTTTTAGCTCAACGTGCTCCATCTGAGCTCGCCGTGCGCACGTCAGCTTTCGTGCTCTCGCGCTTTCCAACTCGCTTTCTCGCTCGTCGTTATTTATGCGTCTCTGTACTTTTATTAGACCGCACCCTGGCGTTTCTTGGTGATCTTCGCGATGAAGGAGGCGGCATCTCGCTGTTCTCTGCTCTCGCTTTTCTCCATACTGCCTCTCCCCCCTCTCGACGACTCCCTCGCTCTCCGCGCAACCACCCTCCTTTCACCATCTCACTGCCGCGATACCCTGTTCCGCCCTTTGCGTTTATACCGACCAACTCCCTACGCTCCCTCGCCTTCTTCGCTCCCAACCCCTTGTTTATTTCGTTTCGTACCATCTTTCCCCTCCCACCAGCGCCAGCGCGGACCGTGCCCAGTCTTCGTAGTGTAGTATGTTATTAAGTTATTTATTGTAGCTAGTGGTCTCGGGTTCGGTCGCGTTGTTTTGTCGTTATAGCTGTGATCTATCGAATAGATTGTATTTTTGCTCCGAAATTTATAGCTCCTCTCTCCGGCCACTCTCCAGTGTAGCGCACATTCTAAATATTGGGATGTCGTGGCAGCTTCCGCGTCCCTTGAGTTCGGCTGAGTCTTCCCCCGAGTCCAAGCCAAGTGCCCAGGCGCTAAGAGTTCCAAATGAAGTAACTCGGAATTCCGGAAGGCGCTCGTGCCAGTGACGTCACGCGTCTCTTCGTCAAAAGACGCGCTACCGCCAGCGCCTAAGCCTTCGCGTTCGACCACCATCCACACTCCTGTGAGCCACTAAGCTGCGACATCTACTCCTGGGCTTCCGGTCGCGCTCCGAGAACATGTATTGATACTAATGCATTCTTGTATTGTCTACGCGCTGGTCTTGACATGGGTATCGACGCTGTGTGGCTTGGTCTGGGTTCAAATTAATCTACTGTGGCTTGTTAAGCGGCGAGCCACAATGCATGCGCGAACCGCAGACGTGGTCTATGAAACACCCCCTCTGGTCTTTCGCGCTATCTATGCCTCCATTCTACTATGTCTCACATTTCCGGTCATTTGCGGACCTCTTGCGACTCGCCGCTCGTGTGGCTACTACCGCGCACTGTGCCTATGCCCTTGCTTGGTACATTGACCTCTCGGGCGACATTCCATGTTCGTAGCCTTCGTATATGGATGTATTTTTATGAGCACACTGTGCACAGAGGTATGCAGATTTCTTCGGAATGTGCATGTTATCATCCTGTCGCGAAAACGGAAGAGGGCATAAGGTCAGTCTCACAACCTCTGCGGCACTGGGAGGCGTCAGTTCGGCGCGTCATGATATGGCTGCCTATCCCGCGGGCTAACCATGTAAAAGGTCAGTAGGAGGCCCGGGATTGTCGTCCGAGGCCAACTGAAGTACAGCTAAGGTGTTGACGCGGGCCTTACCCCGCAAAGACGTCGCGCGAAGGGACCCTCAGGTTGAATCGGACGCGGGCAAGCCTCGGTCGAGTCTTAATGAAGACGCTGGGGGGAACAGTCGCTCTCAAACAAATACTGCGAGAAGGAAACCAGGAGTCATCATCAAATTGCGCGGAACGATCAACTAGGGATACACGATATGGGGGATGCGGTATACAGAACAATCACAGGAGGAATCATGCGGACGTGCAGGGAAGACATCGAAGGGGCGAATCATACGAGCGAGCGTGGGGAGAAAGTCTATCGGCGGTCGTGCGGCGCATAGCCGGGAGAAGAAGGAAGGCTGGCAAAGGAGGAACGGTCGGTGAACGTCGAACCCGCGCTGTATGGCGTGGACGGCGTGGAAGGAGTGGAGGGGACCTTGGAGAGGTCGACGCCGAAGGTCGACTTGATCGTCGCGAGGTCTCCCAGAGACGCGGTCGCGATCTTGCTGTCTCCGCCATACAGCTGCGCGGCAGCGGGCGGCTTCGGGTAGGAGACGTATGGCGGCAGGAAGTCTTCTTTGGTCTGACTGTGCGAGGGCAGTTCGCTGCTGAAATCAAGTCAGGAATGCGATGACGTCGAGAACGCGGAAGAGGCACGTACTGGCTGGCGAGACGCGACGAGACGCGCAGGCGGAAGAACGCGAAGCGGTCGGAGACGAACTTCCAGGCTAGCTTGTAGTGCCTCCGCGCCTCCTCCGCAAAGCCGAAGTAGCCGAAGAAGACGAAGGCGCAGACCGGGAGCACCCAGCGGCTCATCTCCAGCGGGATGGCAACCTTGGGGTATGCGCGCCAGACGACAGCGGGGACCTCCTCGACGACGGAGAAGTCGAAGTGGGCGTCGTCCCACCCCAGCCAGGGGTGCAGCGCGCCGTCGATAGCGTTGGAGTAGAGCTCGTACACGCCGAGGGGGATCGTGAAGACGATCTCCGTCACGGCGAGCGCCATGAGTCGGTAATAACGGCTGACGGTGAGTGCGCCGCCAGTTTGCAAGAACTCGCGGAACTGGGCGTGACGCTTCAGGAGCATGATGAGGGAGAGGACTGGAACAAGGCAACTCAGAATGGAGAACTCGCGCAGAACGGTAGGAACTCACTGCAATATACAGAGGATATTATGCCGATGAGGATGGGCCACATGTAGACCAAGAAGTAGGTCGGGAGGGTATTGTAGATGGCGGGGTAGCAGCCCAGATTCTCGAATATGTTGAAGCGATGTCCTTGTACGATATAAGCTGAAGAAATCAAGGTCAGCGTCGTTCCGATGGTTCACAGGCGGGCGCGGATACTCACAAAGAACCATGCATATGATAGGAAAGAGCACGCAGCACAGGGTGTCTTGCAGGATGACTCGGCGTTTCTGGAGGGACGTTAGAAACGACCAAAGGGAGAAACACCGGCCAACTTACCTCCGCTCGAGTGACCATGACACTGGAGACGCGAGAAATGTTGTACAAACGACGGCTGATGCACAGCGACGCGATAGGGATCCCAACGGACTGGCCGATGATGATACGTGTCGCTGATATTGGGTCTTTGAGATGGTGTAGCGGCATGCAGTTTGGAGAGGTGCTCACATATATCGCACCAAACGGGGGCGACATTCACAGCGCTCTGGGCGAATATGACGGAGTTCACGAACTCATTGAGGCATCCGAGTGCCGTCCAAATCATGTAGTAGCAGGTTCCAGAGTTCCAGGCTTGCAGATGCCATGGTAAGGGGACGAGCGCAATGATGAAACCCAGGAAGGAGACGATGGGGTATGCAGGCCAAGTAGGATCGACAGTCATTATGGCGGCGAGGAGGTCCAGGGGAATAGGGGAGAGCGGGGGGGCGTAAGACTGCAAGTTACGGAGGACATCTTTTCAGCAAGACGATGCAAGAATCGTCGGACAATGGGCTTTGCAGACAATGGACGGCGAGCAGCAGCAGCTGGGAGAGCGGAAGAGTCGTGGAAGGTGAGGCGCGCGTGAGGGTGACGGTCACCCATAGTCACACCACAATTGTGACAGATGTGTGACTCCATTGTTGTACCGTGACACCCTCGCTCAGGCCGCCGGATGATAGGCGTCGGACGGAGTTGGAACGTCGGCGGCCGTCTCCGGACCATGGACCGCCAGATGTAGACACCTCGCACCCCGACTCCGACGAGAGACTTTGGGTGCCGTTCTGCAGCCAAACAATTAGCAGGCGCAATCTATATCAACTCCAAGGTGCCAATCAGCCCTCGACACAAAGACCCTTTCGCCCAACACGATCTACCAACACAGCCGCACTCACCCACCACGTTCCTCATGGACGCCTTCGAGCCCATATCCTTCTCTCTCGACCTACCATCATCGATACCCGGCACCGCGCCGGGTGTCGCGTCCCCCGACGACTTCGACGGTGGTGTCCCGCTTGATTTTGAGCGCACCAACCCCGGAGCCCCCACCTTCTTCTGTGTTATCGCATGAACTGGACTCCAGTGCCTGCGAGACCACCCCAACGCTCTGTTTTCCCCCTTGTAAGTATCTTCGCTTTGCCTCCGCTAGAGAATTCTTGCTGATGCTCTTCCCCCGTCGCAGCGAGTAGATGTAGTATCATTATTTCGCTCTGTGTCTTGCTCTCGCTTGCTTTCGTCGTTCCTCGGTGTTCTCCAGCGTCGCATGCGATGCTTCTGGTGAGTAGTACTCGCGTTAGAGCGCTTTTGCGGGCCGTTTGCTGACGCCGCATCCTGCAGTGTTCTCGGGCTCCTCACCTGCTGTCGCTCCTTCGTGCTCGGAATTGCATCGTCTCAGATTGTATTATATGGGTGAGCACGCACCGCCTGCTTCGGAGACTTGCTGCATGGTCTAACGGCGACATTCACCAGATCTCCTCGTGGTTCAACCCGCGATGTAGCTCTTATAGAACTCCGTCCTACTCGTCCGCCGGTCCCGCTGGCCCCCAGTCTCCTGTTGTAGCATATCGCTATCCTCTGTGCCTCCCCACTTTCGTTCATCCAATATACGGCCCGGTTTTATCGCTTGATGTCCATGTTTGCATGTCGGTCCTCCGCAGGGTCATGAGGAACTACCCGCACGCCGTCGGTGATGAAGCGCCCGTCTTCTGCGTCCATGTATGTCTTGCCCCACATTGAGTTCTCGGACATACTAATGCCATGAGCGTTCTTGAGTCAGGTGGCACATCTTCGGTGCGTCGTTACGGTTGCCAGTTGCGAATACCCACGGGCCGACATGCTGGGCTCGGGCACGCATCACACACTCAAACTACGCCGCGATGCCAAACACCAGAGGCTAGGGATGGTAGAGGATAAGTAGATTTGGGAGGGATGAGGATGGGTCTTCACCGAGCGCTGCGTCCAGTCTTATATGTACGCCGTCGCAGGAGGTGCTTTAGCCACGAAGAAGCGCCTACGCCGGCTGCGTTAGCGCGCGCTGGTAGCCATGGCTGGACGAGTAAGGGAAGAGCCGGCGCCCACCATTGTCCCATCCTCTTTCCACTACGGGCGTTGTAGTCAGACCCCATAGGAGCCCTCCTCTTTGAGACTCGGCGAAGTGCAAAAACGAGAGAGAGGAGAGCGCTCTAGTGGCTCGCGCCCTTCTGCGCGTTCGTCTCCTTTGGGTGTTCCACTGGGTGCGCAACCTGCCGCCCTTCCGCAGGCTGTTCCTGGTGCGTTCGGCCAAGGGCACGGCGTCGCTCGAGAAGGCTGCTGGGTATGTCCGTTCGCTTCGGTATGTCGTCCAGTTGCTAACGTTAGCGCACGATCAGGTGGCCCTCGAAGAAGGCTGGAGCGTCTCTACCTGCGTACACTCTACCTGTGTACAGTGTGACCGCACCCCTATTCGCGTCCTTCAAGTTGACGTCCTCCGCGCTGTTTGGCGACGGCCTGTCCATGTCCGACTCACCGTTCAACGAGAGCGACCCCTTCCTCGGCAGGCTCCGACCTCTCCCACCACGATCCCACCGTTCACGGTGCCCATGCCGTATGGTCCTCCCCCCTCTTTTCAATCTCATTTTCATCCCATCCCCACCCCCTCCTTTCCCGTTATGTCTCCCTGTCCCTGATCCATGCCTTCATGACGCTGTATCCATACCCTCTCTTGTATCATCCGGACCCTGTAATCCCGCCCGCTCCTTCATTCGCCTTCGATCAATGGTCCCTCCCGCGGCTTCTTCGGCTTTTCTTCTTCATTATCATGGTGTATCCAGTATCATCATTAGGCCAATTTATCCCGCCTCTTCTTGGATGTCTTGCCTTCCGCGTGGTCTTGAGCTTCTTCGTGAGTGACAGTTAGCGTTGGCCGTGGCATCATGAAGCTCATCGCATAGACTTCGCGCGCAAGTCCTGCTCGGCCGTGGACGGCATGCATGCATGCCAAGTCCAGAGGGCGTCGCCGCGAGTGCTTCTGTGCCACTTTAGGCTCAGCGCGTCTTCAGTCACTCCTCTCTTGCTCTTCTGGTCGTCTGGTCGGCGAGGTCATCGTACTGCGGTGGCGTCCGTGTCGGTCTGCCGGGGCACCACCGGTATGAGGGCATGCGCAAAGACTCGAATTATAGAGGGGAGGAGGGTAAGAGTGAAGAGGATGCGGTCTCTGCCCCGGCGAGCTCGGCCTGTACTTATAGACTTCAGAGGGAGGTTTAGCCACCACCTAGGCGCCCACCAATCGCGGGCGACGTCAGCGCGCACAATGGGACATTGGAGATTCCAGCACCTTCTCCCGCCGCCCGTCTGATGCGCCCATTGTGCGCTGGCGTGCGCGACTTCCCAAGAGAGCTGCCAATGAGCGTTGCAGCCGAGGGCTTTCAGCCATGGCTGGCAGGAGTACTTCTGTGACGCCACGACGGAGTGATGGCGAAGCGCCCCGATGGATCGAGATCGACGTCTTCTCGCTGCCCCGATAACCTCGGACTGCAGTGACGATGTGAGGAGGCCTGCAGCGCTACTGAGGTGAGGGCAAGGTCAGAATGAAAGGCTTATCCTTAGACCACGCGGCACACATAGACGAGAATGATTGGTCGTGTATAGCAGAACTGATCACATTTGCAAAGCAAGTACAGAGGCATAGCGATACGATTGAATAAATAACGCACTATAACGACAGCGACACAGCAAGACCGGATCCGAGACACAGTAGCTACAATAAATAGGAATAGATACTAGACTACGGAGACTGGACCCGGCCTGTACCGGGCGTTGGGAGGATAAGGACGGAACGGAGGGGGTGTCGCGAGGTTAAGGAGAGTGGGGATGGAGGTTGGCAAAAACGGGGGGCGAAGGAGTTGTAAGGAATGGTGGGCCGAGCGAGCAAAAACGAGGCATATCGCCGCGGCGTAGGTGAAAATGCGGCGCAGGATGAACAGAGGGTAGCGCGGCGGGGAGGATGAGCGAAGCGGAAGTCGAAGAGGGAGGAAGCGAGGATTGGGGAGGCAGCCGCTAGGGCGCAGGCCGATAAATAATAGGACCCATAAATAAGCGAAGGAAAGCAAGTTGCAACGAGAGCGAGATAGCAGGGTAGACGTGAACACGTCAAGCGACACAGAATTGTGCTGGGCTCTGAGATAGTGGTCAATGACTTGCAGAGGATGGGACTGAAAGCATACATACCAGCAGCGTGCGCGCACAGAGGGGGAGCCAGGAGACCATGCAGGTCATGCGATGACGCAGTACCCAGCGGTAGGCGTTGCGCTCGCCGGTCTGTCTTCGTTCACAGGTGTAAACGACGACATCTGGGCGAGCATGGCCGCGCGGTCGTTGGAGGAGAGGTTGGCAGACAGTGGGTCGAGCAGCGACAGAGAGTCGGGATCGCTGCTGAAATCGATGGTATCTGCCGGGCTGGCGATGATGATTGATAAGTCGTCCATGGCGGAGAGGTGGGATCGCCTGTGGACTGATGGTGCAAAGGTCTTTGTGACGGGAAGACGAGGATGCGGGTGTGCGAGGCTGCGAACGACTTTCACAGTGTTAAACAATGTCCGCTCGCTATTGTCTCTGACGAGCGGGCCCCGCCGTACAATTGCAGGAGTTCCAGCGAGCGGAGCATGTTAGCTAATTGAAGACCCAGAGCAGCAGACAATGAAGACCAGGAGTCGGGCAAGGAGCGGGACGTGCTAGCGGAAGCGACGGGTATGCGTGATGAGCGCGTGAGCCAACCGGCGCGAGAGGATTGGAAGTCGAGCGCTCCCCAAGTTATTTTTCTCAAAGAGACATCCCGCAAGGGAGTAGCTACCACAGTGGGCACAATATTAGCACAGAGAGAGCTTCTGCAATTGTTAGAGGGAGCTTCGAGACGAGAGTGCGGTCGAGGATTGAAAATGATCGGTGGTAGCAAACACTCTGGAGGATGTGTTTGGCATTATTTGCACACCAGCGTCATTAGACGCCCTACAAGCATTTCGGCCGGGTAACGACGAGTAAGAGAGGCTCGATGGCCAAGTCGTCCATTATATTGAAATGGGACAATTCTGAAACAGTAGTCAAGTCTGGAAGTAACAGGAAAGAACGAATGGAGTAATATTGAACGCGCGTGAGATTTCATAATATAAGGATACAAGTCTAAGGCTACAAGCAAACCAGGACGACACTGAGAGACAGAATGCGAGAGAGGAAACAGGGAGAACGCTGAACGAGTGTGGGGAGTTTTACACGGCATGCGCACCGAAGTGGCTCAGCCTAACGTCGTCGTGAAGCTCGTCGGACGCATCAACGTCCGACGGCACCGTCTGCACGGAGGAATGGGGCCGCGAACCCGGCCGCGACGCCGCATAGTATGAGGGGAGGTCATCGTCGTTGTCTGTAACGACGCGGACGGGGGCGCCGATGAGGATCACGTCCTCCTTGGAGTGTTCGCTGAGCGAGCGCTTCTTCTCGAACATGTCCGAGGGAGTCTCGGGGCTGAGGGGGCTGATCGGCGAAAGCTCGCCACTAGACATCGATAGGTGCGCGGCGGGGAGAGACGGTATCGATACAGTCTGCCCAGAGCCAAGCGTGGAGCTGCGTGCAAGAAGTAAGTACCATCCCGTTTGCGCGACAATGAGATTCACATACCGAGAAGGGGGCATCGGAACGAATCCGCCGGTGGACGACTTCATGCTCTTCGCGCGCGGCGTCTGCCTGAAGACGCGCGTCCACACCCATAGCGCGTACGCCTTGTACTCGCCCATCGCCTCCTGCCCGAACGCGAAGAACGCACAGAACAGGTACGCGGACACGGGCGCGATCCACCAGCACGCGTAGTAGAAGCGGTAGATGAACGGCGGGAGGAACGGCGTCGGGAACGTGTCGACGCGGCTGAAGTCCCAGTGCACGTCCGCCCAGTTCGTCCACGGGCGCATGTCCCAGATGACGGAGAAGCCGAGCGTCGCGGAGACCGCGGCCGCGCTCGCGAACATCTCGATGAGCGCGAGGAGCATGAGGCGCAGGTAGCGCGACGCGTTGAGCCCTGAGTTGGAGTTCTCGAGGTGCTTGGCGAACGTGATGCGCCGCCGGACGAAGTGGGAGAAAGCGAGCGCTGCGGGGCGAGTGAGGTGAGCAAGCAAACACGCCTGGCAAATTCAAAGTGCATACCTGCAAATACGAGCGAGACCGCCGACATGATGAGGGGCGGAACCCACATAAGGAAGATGGCGGGGATGGAAACGTAGATAGAAGGGCGGCAGCCGAACTCTTCAATAATGTCAAAACGGTGACCCTGAACTATGTAGTCTGTAGGCAATGCTCGTCAGCATGACCACGCCATTTCGACAAAGAGATGCCACTTACGCAGGCCCATCCAGATACAAGGAACAAGATAGCACAGAACAGCTTCCATGATCTGCCTCCGTCTCTTCTGCGCCAGCGTGGTGAGAGCTTGGCGGACGGAGGCGACATGCTCTAGGTGTATGCATACACACATGCATGCCGCTGGTAGGGCCATGTTGGCGCCGATGAGTATCTTGGTTGCTGAGAACCCATATGTTAGCACGAGACAGGCATTCGAAGACTGGGAGGAAGCACATACTAATATCGCACCAAACGAACGCGGTCCTCTGGACCGTATGGCTCCAGATGATAGAGTCGACAGCGTAAATGACATTGACAGCAAAGAGCCAGGCGATCATGGATAGCGTGGCAACGTTTCCAGCGCGCCAGTGCCATGGCGTCGGAAGGAGAACGAGGATGGCGGCGAGGATGGAGGCGGCGGGGAGTTCGCGGTGCATCTTGCGTTCCTGACGTGCAGACGGGGAATACGACGAGCTACTCGCGAGACCACCATATCTTATGATGAGACTGGACAGCGGACAATGAAGGCAGCGGACAAAAGCTGTTTGGCGAAGAACGAGGCGCGAAAACAGAGCACAATGAAACGCAGCGGGCGCTTATACGTCTTCCTACGCGAACTTAGCGCCCGTTTCGCATGGACCCAGCTTTTAAATTTGGCTCGCGAGTCGTGGCCGGCACCATGAGGCTATGTTATGTACTACGAGCGCTCCTACTCACAACGGACTGAAGCGTTCCCGGTGTGAATGTGCCCGCCGAAGTCACGGCGCTCGAAGTGATCCAAACCATCCGACCCGCTGGGACTGCGACTTTCCGGCAGACTCTGGCAGCCGGCCCTCGGCGCCTCCTATATACTGGTAGCCAGATAGTAATGTAAGCGCCGTAAACGCCCTGATATAGTAATACCTCCACTGGGCGCCTCGCGTTCATACTCCTGGCGAGAACACTGTAGTATCTACTCCTGGCTAGTTAGACTTCGTAAAAAAAGCACAGTGGTGCTCGCAATCTCATATTATGATGTTTATGTACGTCTTTATAATATTTGGGACAAGTTTGAAGCCATAGAGAGGTACTAGGAGGAGTAAGACCTTACTACTGATCTCATTAACTTGAGGGATGTTATAACCACCCTCACACTTGTACAGCTTCTATTTGAGAGTGAGAATACTTTTTACATGGTTCTGAAGCAGTTTTTTAGGGACGCGCGCGCGATAACAATGCTTGGGGGCGCGCGCGCATTGCGCACGAAGTCGCGCCTCGCGCGCCGCGCGCTGTGAGGTCGCAATTACCTCGTATACCTCGCACGACTTCGCGCGAGCAACGCACACACTGCGCTCACCTTTATAGACGTTTAGGAGAGGATTATGTACTGGCGCGCGCGTGCAGAATCTCTCTTATTATTATTTACTTTCATTTCCACCGCCCATAATGAGTTCAGTAGCGCCCGGTAGGAGGGCGCTTGATTACGGGTTTATCTCGACTTACCTGCCTCAAAAGGTAGGTGTCTCCTGTTATCTCCCTGATTATCGCTCACGTGAGTCTGCCATCACAGTCTGGCGGACTCCGGCGGAGGATTGTCTCCCAGTGGGTCAGATGTTCTCAAGTGATCAGAGTAGCACGGAGGCAAATAAGTCGCGGCTGTTGAACGTACGTTGAAGGCGGCCTCGGGCCAGGGCTGCACGCCTCTCAACATACTAAATTTCTCTTAAAATATTCAGAATATATGCCGGGACTTCCCCGGGCAATTCAGTTCGGTGTCTGAGATAAACGCAGGCAATCATTATACAGTCTCGAGCACTCACATCCCACGCCGACTTCGCCGATCTACGTATGTCCGGCATAACCAGCTCGAGCCTTGATTCACAGCAGATCCGAGTGCTCTGCTAACACTAGCGTCTGCCCGTCCGCATCGCAGTAGCTCGACACCCTGGTGGAGTACTCTTCCAAGCTCGCGTTAACCGGCACGCCGAAGTACTGGTTTACGAGGTGCCACGCCCGCTCGAAAAACATGTGCGCCTCCGTGCAACGCGTCGGGCCAGCCGGAACCTCGTATATCGCCTCCCCGTTGTCGCTGAATGGATGCGGGTCCAGATGGTGAATCTCACATCTGAGGTGAATGCCAAGCACATATCGTGCGAGGCCGGGCCTGCCCTCGATCAGCTTAAGGGCGTCGGGCTGTATCGCGCAATCGCATGAGCCGGGTAGACGGGGTGAATCATCGAGAGGGCTCACCAGCAGGTCGAGAGTAAGGGACTGTTCTAGTCGAAGGGTGATCGACAATGATTTGACATAGGGGAATAAAACAAGGAATTCGAGGATGGCCGTTGGCTGTGTTTCGTCGGAGTCCAGTATGATTGTCAGCGCGAGCTCATTGATGTTCTGGAACCGCAGGACCGGAGCTCTGTAGAGGAGCGTAAGGTACTGGAACCTTAGATTCTCCACCGCGAGCGATTCCAATTTGGTGAGGCAGGGATGAGAGAGCAACAGAGCGAGGTCGTGGTCGAACGGGTGCGCCTCCTCCGATCTGGGGATGTATTCGGGGTAACATAGGGTGAGTACGCCGAGCGACGCGGTCGGCAGCGTAGCGAGGAGCATATTGCAATGGTTGGGAGCATATCGCATGATGTATGTGAGGTTCCTGAGCTGAGGGAGCGAGAGACGAATGGTCCGGGAGTCGAAATCAGCCTGAGGGATCGAATTAAGCGTCACAGGCTCCACGTAGTCCTCCAGCGTGAGAGTGTCCATGTTGGTGGTAAAGTCGCAGGGAGGCAGCGACGATTGAGTACCGCGGCAAACATTCTATGGTACGTGGCTGTCAGCGATGTCATCTGAATCATGTAGAGCGCGTAGACATACCTGGGACTTCAAGAGGCGTGATTGCTAGTTCGATGGGTATCGAGGGCTGGGCGGCGGCGTTGCCGGGCTGGTGTACAAAAGATGTGTGAGGGTCGAGACGTTGAATTGGGCTGAGCCGATGAGGTCCAGATGTCGAGACAGCCCTCCATTTTATACGCTCCCCGGCGTGACGAAGTCGCATGTGCATCATGTCGCAGATGGAGTGACGACAGGTGCACGCTTATGAGCCCCTCAGGAGTGAGACTGGAGAGCGATTGAACAGGCAGGAAGGGCAGGAGGCCATATGGATCAGGAAGGAGAGCATCTGCGAGAGAGGACAATCAGGACAACAGCTGAGCTGGCGAAAACGATTGAACAGGCAGGAGGAGCCGCGGAGGCGAGTAAAACCCGTTGTGGTGACCGACGATTGTTGGCGCAAAGCCACGCGTGGTTTGTTTCCGGCCTGTCGCCAAGACAGCTTTAGCATAGCGGCTAGTATCGTGCTGAGACCTTCCGATACGGTCTAGGCTGACTCGAGTTCACGTACGCGTGTAAAGGGTGTGTATGTGGAACCCAATACCATCGCCTCCCTCGTGTATTCGTAGCAACCGCCTCGTTGACAAATCATCTCCTCTTTTGTGTATCGGGCCCGGGAATTGCTGGGGGATGGTAGAGGATGCGTTTTTCCGACTCACTTGGCTGTAGTTGGATATACATATTGAAGATCGTCGCCTCGATGCGTGGTGTGGACTTCATGGAGGGGCGATAGTGACAGTCGCCGCCCAAGTTCCGTGTAGCTCAATTGAGCAATACCGTACATAGCGCAGTTCTGCTCAATCGCGCAGTTCAGGCGCGCGCAAGGCCTGATCTTCGTGACTCGGGGAGTACGCGCCGGCTGAAGCTGAAGACCACCCCGGCAAACGAAACTCCCTGCGTTCGTGACATGCACCGCGAAAGGTTGCAGCTCGCTCTAGAGCTGTCAAGTGATCGATTAACATCATCAGGGGTGTTTGTGGACACCAACCGTCGATCGTTTGGGTGCGCCCATAAGCGCACCCACTCATTCGCACCGCCGCCGCTCCTCTTCGCGCCCAACGGAGATGTGTACTCGACAGTAAGGCTAATGAGTTCTGTTCGCTACATGTCTTATCCTCCGCAAGGCCGTAGAACGTACCTGGCGCGCTCGCCACGGTGGCGTATGGAAGCGGCAGTCTGCCTCCTGGGGTGTGCTTGAGGAAAGCCGTGCGGCAACTTCACTGAGTGCATGGACCGTCCAGCAACCCAGCTGCATACTATGTGGGATATGCGTGGGTGCACGATGCGACCTTCATGCAGCCAGCCATGCGCATCATCAGCAGGCATACTAGTAATATCGCAACGAAGTCAGCGAAGTAATGGGGTCGTACCAGTGGGAGAAGCTCACCTTATTATGCCCCGTGTCCAATTACGCCTGGTGTATATCCAGTGCCTGCGCCAAAGTACACAACTGTTCTAATCATTTCGGATTACCTGCCGGGTCTTCCATAGCTACATGCAGCACAACAAACATTTCAACTCGATAACAAAACGGATACAAGCAATCACTGCATGGACTCAAGCACTCACATCTTACATCTGTTCGCATCACCCCCAGTGGTCACCTACTCCGTCCTGCCCAGCCAGTCCATGACCCTGCTCTGCGTCGTGCCCGTGCTCCGCGCAACCACCCGCCAGTTGGCGTCGCAGTAGCTCGACACGTTGATGCAGTACCACCGCAGGCCCGCCGCCGCTAGCATGCCCAGGTGCGGGTTCACGAGTTGCTGCGCGTGCACGAAGAACATGTGCGCCTCCGCGCATCGCGTCAGCCCCGCCGGGCCCTCGTCGCTGTCCGCCGAGCTGTCGCTGTACCGCCGCGAGCGCGGGTGGTGCGCCCCGCACTTGAGGCGGATGTTCACCGTGTAGTACTCGAGGCGGAAGCTGTTCCGGGCCAGGTCGAGCGTGTAGGCCTACATGACGTGAACGCGTCAATGATCAGACATGGCTGGATACGAAAGAAGGCTTACCAGGAGCATCTGGAGGCCCTCGCGGTGATTGATGCGGATGTCCAGCTTGATATCTTGCGGAACGCCGCTGTGCGGATACGCGTTCCAGTACGTTCGGAGGTGGCTCAAGAATATGTGCAGTGCTTGCTGAGGCGCATCGACTGCCTCCGTGAACGCGACCGACAGTCTGTGGGGCGCGCCACCGGCGAACAGTCTGTCCATCAGGTTCTGCGCGCGATCCGCCGTCCACAGGTCGACCCCTGTGATGTCCATCTCGTCGTCAGGGCAAGGCAGGCCGAGGAGGAAGATGTCGAGGAGGCTGGCGGATATGTCTGCGAGATTGAGGGTGCGTCGCGCAGCTGCACGCGCCGCGGCGTTCTCGCTGTGCACTGCTTCGAGGGCTGAGGGCTGTGGCTGGCGCGTAACAGATCGCACATCGCGTACCGCGACCGTCAATGAGGTGATATGGGGGAATAGCGTGAGGAGGAACCCGAGAATGCCCCTCCGTGGGGTTTCATCGTCCAATGTGATCTCCAGCGCGAGACGATCCAAGTTCGGGAACCGCGGGGCCGGACCTCTGGAGGGGAGCGCAAGGTACTCGAACCTCAAATGCTCCACCTCGAGAGATACCAGATTTGCGAGACACGGGTGGGATAGCAGCAGGACAAGGTCGGGTAGATGAGTCTCCTCTTCGTCGATGTACTCCGGGTAGTAGAGCGCCACCGTGTTGAGTGGTGCGTCGCGCAGAGAAGCGAGGAACGTGTTGCAGTATTCGACTGCGTACAGCATGGTGTACGAAAGGTACTCGAGCTTTGGGAGCGAGAGTGGAGCGGCGCGAAGTGCATCGGTCGGAATATCCTTCAGGATACCGTCGCCGTCTTCGAGATCGAGGGTTTCCAGGTGAGTGAAGCGACGCAGCATACGCCACAACACCATGGCTTCTTCGGGGGAAAGAGGGGGATCGCGCGTTGAGATCTGTTGGCCTAGCAGAAGATGGCCTGGAATATCGGAGAGGGGATCGCGGCGATCTCTGGCGAGGAGCGATCTAGCGAAGGCGAGGACTTCGTCGGCGTCTCGGAAGGCCAGCGGGGAGGTCGGCCAGCGGCGGCGAGCATCGTCCTCCTTGACGGCCCTCAGGAAGGCCGCGTTCATGACGGCCGCGGGTCTCGCGGCAGACATCCTGTATACGTAGCCGTTAACACTACTGTCCGTATGCTGTATCAACTATATCGAAGACGTTGTGAAGCGCAGGTTGATACTCGGCGCCGGTATGGAAATGATAACTCCAATAGAATAGGATATAATGGCTATCGTCATCACCGTTAAGAAACTGAGCGGTCGTGGGCGTTTTAGTGCCAAGTGCACGAGAGAAGGCGCGGATGTAGAAGTCAGGCTTTTCCCAGCCAAGTCCTAGAGACGGAAAAGGTTGGGAGAAGCCTTAAACAAGGGAGTGAATGGAAATCCTTTGTTTCCCTTCTCGACGGATCCTTTCCGATGTGGGCAAAAGTCTTCCGTCAGTCTGGATTTCCCGTAACTTTCTAGGGGCGGAGAATATTGCTGAATAGATATTTGATTGTACACCAGCTGGTCATTTAGAACTTAAGCAGCACGCAAAGTCACACTACGTCAAATCACGAATCTGCAATCCACAGGCGACACTTGGGTAACGGTGGACTGCTCCAGCTACACGGTCAATCCGGCGCGATATACTCGGGGCGCATCCGGGTAGATGCCAACCGGTCTCCGACGAGAGCCTTGCCCGAGCGGCACATCCAGGGCCAGTGTGAACATTGACCCACCAGATTGACCGCGTAAGCACATAGTCGGAGTCGGCGGTCTCTTCGGCTCATATCCGAGCTATGTCTCATCTCAGCCTCTTACTACCCCCCAAATGTTGAGACCGTGGATGTGGGAAAGGTCGTCACGGTGGTCCAAGGTAACGCTGAGAAAATGGCCTTGAGACGCGATTATCCATGCAGGCCGACGGAAACTCTGTGTAGATGTGTTGCGGCGCCCCCACCCCTGCTAGACCTCATAGCTGGGGCAGATGCGCAAACTTTTTTCTGGAAGAGATAGAATGGACAAAGACGAAGCTGATCATCGATATACATACCCCAGCCGCAGTCGCAACTGGGAGAGTATCCCGATGGCTCGTGTGCGCACCGACAAGCCTAGATGAAGGATCTTACCTTGGCGACAAGCTTGGTCGACTTGATATAGAATGAGAGTATTCTTCCGCCACCGGACGTGAGGTTGGGTTGGTTTGCGAGCCTAGTTTAACGACGAGATGGGTAGTTGAGCGGCTGAGGAAACCCAGAGTTGAGCGGAGCTGTGGTGCATATGGCGGTTTGGCGGACCATTTTATATGTTCCTGTAGGTTCCTAGTGCGCCCACAGTGGCGTGTGCATTAAACAGCGGAAGGGGAAAGCGGGGTTGACAAAGGACGGCCTACAGGGCTGGACGCGATTGAAAAGGCAAGAGGTTGAGTTAGGCGCGCGACTGTGATCGACGATCGGAATAAGTAGGGCCAACACGTGGCGTTAACGTTGTTTTGGATATGTCTGTTGTCTCCGCCTAGTTGCTTCTCCCGAACTTGCCGCGGCCATCCTATGTTTTTCTGGCGTTGTGCGCGCTCTAGGAGCGTAGCAATAGGCAACAAATACGACATACTCACGTAGACTTCTTGCTGGGCGTTGATATCGTGTCCAAGGCAACGATGCGCCCGTAAGTCGCGCAAGGAGTACTCAGCCAGCTTGTGATCATGTACGTCACTCTTGGAGTAGGATTTTCGGCCAGAACATCTCACTATGACCCTTGGTTGTTAGTATAAACACTAGATGAGTGTACACTGTGACTTGATAGCTCTCAACTGGGATACACGATCCCATATTCGCCCCGAGGCGGATGCTTCCGACTCGATCGACCTTCTCAGACCACAAACATGCGGTTCGTGCGCTCGTAAATCTTTTGTATCCATCCTGACATGCAGTCGCTATCAAACGGTCGATCGCGGACGTGCCCCACCTCCACGACCGCGTGGCCCGAGGTCAGTCGCCGCCAGCTCGACGTATAATTTGCAAACCCACCCATGCATAGGAACGATGACCATCAGCAAAAAGTCATTTGGTGGGCTGAGGATTGGCGCCATTCCGTGAGAAACACCTTTCGGGCAAGGCCTTGGGCGGGAACGCAAGGGGTTCCAATGTAGCAAGAGTACTGTTGTTTGATCTCTATTATCCCGGAAATTGGCATGCATTACAATCATACAGGCGCACTACGTACACGGTGTACACCGGGTTACTGAAAGGCAGACCGACGCTCAGAGGCGCTCCGCGCTTGATAATTGCTTTGTCCGCGATCCGCACGCCCTGATACCGGTGGCGCGCCTCTTGCTACTTGCTTTCTCTCTACAATTGCACCCTCGCCCGCTCTAGCATCAATCACGGCACTGTCCGGTGCCCCGCCTGCTGCTTTATAGATCACCGAGCGCATGGGCCCACGTACGCGCGTCGCGCGAGCCCGCTTAAAAGGCCTCCACTCGATCGCGAGTCGAGTCAACTTGTTGCTTCACTCCCCGTCCGCTCCCTCTCGCCTCAAACTACGGTGCTAGCGTCTTGCGCTCTTGCTGCCGACTTCTGCACTCTCACTCAGGCCACTCCTGGAGTCCTACGCTCGTTGCTCCTGAACTTGCTTTGTGTTCTCGCTAGGCTTCTTGGGTCCGACTCGACTCACTCTCTGAAGCTCATGTGCAGAGTGCTCTCTCGCCCCTCTTGATGTCTGACACCCTTGGAGTTCTTGGTGCTCTCTGGCAGACCGGATGCTTGTGCTGTCCCCTCGCCCTCGGCCAACTATCCCTCCGACACCACTGCTGATATTTCTCTCTGCTCGTTCTGCATTCCCTTATACAGGTTCCCTCGTCTATCTAAACATATTCATGTGCTCGTGCCCCAATGTATTACGTTGCCAGTGTTTTTAATACAAGCTTTAGTCCATATCGTCCACCCCGAGTACTATTGACCGGTCACCCTCTGCGAGCTGGTCCACGGATAGTCTGGATTCGCTCGATTTCGCACATAGGTAGCTCGGCCACGATTTTAGACCTGGCAATGTCGCACATCCTCTCAGAACAGGCAGAATTACCCCCAATGTGGCATATATATTCTGTAAATTTGGGACTTTCCTTGTACCATTGCGATAAATTCTCGCACTTGGAAAGGAGGACCTTCATGCGACAATCCATTACAATCTTGCTTCCCATCTGCCATGAAATTGGCTCAATTGCATTCCATTTTTGCCCCTTACAATCTATTGCGTACGAAATACCTTTTTGCTGATGACGCTCCAATCACTATCCCCCTTTGGGCGCCACGATGTACCGGAGCGCCTTACCTCTCGCTGGCATGGACCGTGGACGAGACATCGGCACTGATTCCGAGTGCTCTTCCACAGCCCTCGATCCGCAGAAGCACTCTTTGGGTATGATCTTCGTCGATTCGCAATCGCACTGTATTATGTCAATCTGACAATATTCGCTCCCTCATGTCCAGGTATGTGGTCTTCAGTGTGTTAGATTTGTGCATCCATTTCCTGTGCCGCGCGCAAGGCGCGTGGTAAGTGTAATCTCAGCAGGAGACCGGGCAGGGACCGCCCTGGCAATCTGGTCGAGCAGGCACGAGTAACAAGGGCGCGCATGTCCCTGATGGTGGCCGGAATCAGACACTCATTTCTCATGAAATGGTACAGAGGCTTGCGGTCGTACCACGCCGAGAGCGACAGGCTTGTTCTATGTGCCGCATCAGCGATCCGCGAAGGTCATGGCCAAGTGAGTTTGCGGTACTTTCCCAAAACTGGCTCGTTTGCTGAAATTGATTGTTCTTCCAATCAGGCCTAGTGTGCTTCACAGCACCCGGAAGGCGTGCTGTCGTCACCGACACAAACATAAGCATGGAACGGAGAAGCATCGGGCCGAACAACTCGCACTTGTGATTCGTAGGAGTTTGCTACCGCGATTGAGAGTCAGATGCGTTCTTCCAACCCTTCCCGGGGCTAGGTCTGTGTTTCAGAATCATAAGTTTTCGCTCTCCGACCTTCTCTACCGTAATGTGCTGGCCCGGGGAGCTAAAACATCAAGTACGACTTGAGTGGAGAATGGGTGAGCCCCCCAGTGGGTGCGACCACCGGCAGTCGTTCCAAGCACCTAAGTCCGCACTCGATGATTCAACTAGCATTAGGTATTACACAATAGCTTTACTGGAACCTGCACATTGTTGACACCGGCTCTCTACAGCGGAGTGGCTTGTAGGTTTCTCTACTGCCAAATTGTAAGTAGTTAAATTATTTCTTGTCGCGCAGCCTCACACTTTTCGAACATTATGGCAGATGTATCGCGCATCAGTATCTAAGTTATATAACGGTGGCGAAGGAAAGTTTTTCTAGGACAGCAAAGTCTGGAAAGTACTTTAGTATCCGGAATCGCGTAGTCTTTTTTTTGATCTATATGTGCAAGTAGTAGTGCTTTACAGCCGTCTACAGCCTGAGTGATAATGCAAGGTTCTGATTTGGCCCTCACGAGTACATGCAACGTCTACGGCGGCTGCGCCGCGCATATAGGCAGGAAAGGAATCGCGTAGTCAGGGATGGAACGCTGCTGCCAGCAGCTGGGACTCTTCAAAAGCGTCAAGTAGCCTCGTGGCGCTGTAGCGCACATTTACTCCCACGCTCTTCTTTCATCCCAACCGCCATTCGCTTACACCTCCGCGAGATTTACGACGCGTATCGTTACGCAAACGACGCTGCTGACGACGTCAAAGCCGCATATTAGAAGATAAATACTCACAGGCTACCGTACCCTCTCCTGCAGGTATAGGACAGAAACGCCGACGTAAAGCAAGCCTCGCGCACCCAAAATGAGGATATCCGACTTTTCAACTCGGCGACAGCCAGCACATACCAATCCAATGAAGCCCTAATCACAGATGTCGGGGATGTAGTGAACACATCTCAGTGTAAGCATACGGCTCCCGGTGCAATCACATTGTGTCGGACTCCACAAGCGTCATAAACCGATCGATGTTCACGGGAGGGCACCCAAACGGAACGCCAGTGCGTTATAGCTCGGCATGAATGTCCATGATCAACTGGAGGCCCTCCTTGCATCGCTGGGAGGCACTCATAAGCCAATCGATGAAGGTATAACTCCCGTCATGTTATGCATCCATGGTGCCGAGACCCCTCTCTTTCAACTTTCCCTCCAGGGCGAGTAAAGCGTGCCAGTGCGTGCTCGAGGCACTGCTTGTACATACCGGCCCTTGCCAGACGTGTGCACTGTTGCTCTCACGCTGACGCGTTGTTCTACAGGACTTTCCATTTTGGTGCAGTGCATACAGGCTGCCGTTTCCGGTGCTATCAAACGCCTGTCCACTTTCGGACCTTCACTTATGTTTTCCCTCCGACTCAGCCCGCCCCTCACGTCACGACGCTGGCCTACGACAGACTAGAAGCCCTTCCTCGCGCCTCACTGCCTGCTCGAGGCGGCCCGGTCGCATTCATGTTGTGCTCGGGATGTTCATCCTTGTTCTCTACCCGACGCCGACACTTCTCGGAGCACGAGCTTCGTGCCTTTCCCTCGGTCAAAATGGACGCTCTCTCTACCAGGCAGTGCCTTCCCTCGCCGACCACGAATATACCCCGTCCTCTCTCTCATAACACTCTAAACCCGCCTCGTCGTTCCTTCCCTCGCCTGCGGCTCAGGCTCGCGCTTCCCTGTGATATACCGCCCTGCCTGCCGCGCGCCATCTACTAGAAGATGCGCGCCGAGCTCCCTGCTATTTCGTTCCTCTGCGTCGCCGCGCTGGTCCTTGTGGCGCCCGTTTTTGCCTCATCGCGAAATATCCCTGTCCTGTCGCTGGCGGCTTGGCTCCTCTGCTGCAATGTCATCCACGGCGTCAACACGCTTGTATGGGCAGGAAACGACGCTATACATGTCCCCGCGTGGTGCGACATAGGTATACCCCGCTTCCAAGGATTCATGACTGCTTGGGAGTTGCTCACCGACGATCCTCGATAGTGACCAGAGTGCTCTTAGCGGTCCAGCTCGCGCTCCCAGGATCCGCGCTTGCATTGGTCCTGAAGCTGCGCCGATGCGCTCTAGGTCAGGAAACGATACGCAAAGCGCCTACGCTCACAACAGACCTCATGCTGTGCTTCATACTCCCGGTAGTCTACATAATCCTCCGTAAGTAGTCGCCACTGCCCTTCTGCTCGATACTGACTTTTCGGGACAGACATAATTGTGCAACCGCACCGATTCGACCTCTCCACGGACTTCGGCTGCACTGCCTCGATACACACGTCCTCCCTTTCGATCATCTTCATCTGGATACCGCCCCTTCTACTTTCCATGCCGACCTTTGTGTATGCGGTCCTTTCTGTCCGCGCCCGTCTGGACAGCGGCCTGTTTTTCTTCAGCCACATGCACGATGCGCCACAAGTCAATGCCCTCACATTCATCCGCCCCCTGGTCATCTCTGTACTCATTGCTGTTATCTCTTTCTCCGTCACCATCTTCTCTATGGCGGCGTATCTCGCGGACGTCGGCGGTCTTCAGGCGTGGACAGTGGAAATGTGGAACGACGTGCACGCCCAAATGTCCCAGATTTTCGTGATTCCAGCGACCTCTCATCGTGACCTCACCAGGGTCGAGGTGGAATGGTGGGTCGTACCCGCGTGCACCCTCATCTTCGTCTGCATGACGGCGCTGGCGTTTTTCTCCGGCATCCAAGGCGATCGCATACGGACGCACAGTGGACTCCCCCACTGGTTCCGACGCACAGTTATGCGACAAACATCGAAAGATTCCTTCGGGCACTCGAAAGGCATGAGCGGACAGACCCTCTGCAGCACTCCCTCCTCGCCCACGTCAATGTACGAGATGAAGTCGGGCTGGGAGGACAACTGGCGCCCCGCCGCTCCCTCCAAGGTCAAGCTCGCTCCGCTGACCATTCCGGACGCGCCTTCACGGTCCACCCTCGTCGTTTCGGACCCGGAAGACCCGTTCGTACAGTCGACGCTCACCTACATCGAATCGCCGACCGGCCGCGAGGCCTTGGGTCTTCCGCCTATCCCCCCTGCTGCTTACCACCCGGCGCAGTATAACGGAAGCACGTCCCTCCCTATGGCCCGTTCCCCTTCGCGTTCACCGAGCCCTCCGAAAGAAGGGGCACAAAAGATTGCGGTTCCTCGCCCAGCCTCGATCCTATCCGGCCCGTGGCCCAAGCCGCCCTCGACCATCCCCCCATCTCCTCGCACGCCCTCGCCTAGGACTCCCATCACGGTGTCCCCTCCGTCTCCTATCCCCGAGCCTGTCTCCCCTACTGTTCATGTCCATTCCCCCTCGTCGCGTCCCGAAAGCGTCTCGTCCTTCAGTGGCAGCTTCGCATCCTCGATGATCAGTATCGGCTCCCTTGTGCTCGAGGAGCCGTACGCCCCTCCGTTCCAGGACAGCGCGTCGGGGTCAGCAGGCCCCGGCCTCGCGGTGCCGAAGCACATTCGGAAGGCGCGGAGCAGGGACGTGCTTCCCAGAAGTCTGAGTACGAGCTCGCGTGCAAGACGTAATGGCTCGGACGGCGCGCTCTCGGGAGGGATCTATATGACCGTGGTGAGGGAAACGGAGTGAATGGAGCACCGTGCAGCAGGCGTCCGTCGGAGATGGGTGCCGGGGGTAGCGCACCAGGCGCACCCCGGTTTCTTTCTCTCTCTGTGGTTTCGGTTTATCGTCTCACTAATTTCTCTTAGCTGCACATAGCCAGTTTAACCTAGCCTTGGTCTCGTGCCGAGGCTAGGTTTTTGACACTCTTTCCCTTGCGACAACATCTCCGATCCTTCTCTCGGTTCTGTATTCCCCCTGCGTGTAGCATACAACCTGTAGCAGTTATCCCGCCCCTCAATATGAATTATCGTGTTATGCGAACCAAGTGTGAGCGCAAGTCCGATCGCGCCTGATCGAGCCCAATTGTACGAGCCATACGGGCGCTCCGCACTTGCGTCTGCTCCCGACCGCAGCGACGCACGCATTCCACACTTCTCGTTCTTTGACCTCCAACCACGACCGCCAACGCTATGGAAATGGCTCGGTTCGCGTAGGTGCTGCACAGCGTGGAAACAGACCGGCTGGCGACCCGACCCTGCGCCTCCCTGCGCGTACGTGACCGACCTCGAGGCCTGCACGCGTTCCCACCGCCTGCGCGCCCTTCTTAACGCTTCCCGTCCTGGTGATTCGCCCGCATCTTCTCCTTTCTCTCTTATCTTGCTCGTCTGGCCATGGCGAGCGGCGCAGCACAAGCGGGTCCTTCGCGTCGGGAAACAACAGCGTTCATGCAGCATCCACAGTCCGAGGACGAGGGGAGCGGGAGCGAGGTGGAGGTGTCGGGGAGCGATGATGAATATGAGAGCGCGCTGAATGGTTCTAAGTCACCATCTCCGCCTCCGGCTCGGGATGTCAAGGGTAAGGGCAAGGCTTTCGGAGCCGTACCTCTCGCCAGGTCGACCAGCCACCAGAGGTCAGCGAAGAAGGCGAGCTCTTGGGCAGACCTTGACCTCTCCATCATCGTCGCGCTCGTCTCCCCGATTGGAAACTGGCTCACGGGCGGAGACCACATCAAGAACCTCTTCCTCATCATCCTGCTCATATTCTACCTGCACCAGATCGTCGAGAGTACGTCCATGTGCCCGAGTCCTGCATTGCTATTAGTGCTCATTGATGTCTAGTCCCGTGGCAACTCTACCTCTCCGCACGCCCACGGAAGCAGCAGCCGCGACATGCAGCGAAGAAACACGACGACGACAAGGTAGCGCATCTCCTCGCGCTCGCCGAAACCGAGCTCAGGCGGCACGAGCTCTTCTACCTCTGTATCGCCCTTTCCTCTCCCTTCATCGGAGCTGCGTTCCTGCGCTACGTGCTCTCTGCGCTCGGGGACCACAATGCGCTCTCCTGGTTCAGCACTACCCTCTTCGTCCTGGCTACTGGCATCCGTCCATGGACGCATCTCGTCAACCGTCTCAACGAGCGTACACAAGAGCTGCATGACGCCCTTCACACCCCTACCGAAGAAACGCTCGCGTATGAGCAAGAAGAGACCCGGCGCACTCTTGATCTTGCTCTCGAACGTATCGACGCGCTTGAACGTGAGCTTGATGACTTGCGCGAGGGCGTCAAACGGGGTGAACAGCTGCGCGAGGTGTGCGACGACCTGAGCGAGGTCCTCGGCGACATCGAGCGCGCGTCGAAGCGCAACGAACGCAAGGCAGATGCCGCCCGCTCTGCCATGTCTACCCGTCTCTCCACCGTCGAGATCGGGCTGGTGCAGTTGGAGGAGCGCCGGAGGAAGGACGTTGCCGCCCTCGAGGCCGCAGGTTTCCGCATCCCGGAGAAGGCGGTCTTGTTCGCACAGGCACGCGAGCACTTCTGGACGCTCGTGCGTAAGGTCTTGTACTATCCTCGCGCCTTGTGGCTGCTCGGCCTCGCGAAGCCTCAGGAACAAGCCGCCTCTCCTGGCGTTCCCTTGTCTCCTGGCGCCAACGGCCACGGCCACAACACCGTGCACGTCAGCGGTATCCTCCTCAACCGCCTCAACAGCCCCGAGCGCGAGAAGCATCTCGCGCACCTTGTCCCGCGCCTCGCAACGATCCCCGAAGCGGACGACTCTGACTCTGAAGGCACGTTCGTGTCGGACAAGGAGCACCCGCGGAAGGGCAGCCGGAGCAGGAGTCGGAGCCGCAGCATGAGCGCGTCGTCGCGCACGGTCAAGACGCCATCGTACCGCCATCAAGCGTACGAGTACGCCCAGGATGCCGTGCTGTGGCCGTACCGCTTCAGTTCGCGCGTCCTTGTTGCCGTGTTCCCTCCCGTGGCCAAGATCGTCCCCAAGCTGTGAAGCTCCGCTGTCCATGTTTGTTCTTTCTCAAGCCTCTGAATCTTGTTTGCTCCTGTAATAAGGATATTTATCCTCTCACACGTTCGCTGGTCCTCGCTCTTGTGTATCCCCCGCCTCTCCTTCCGTATTTCCTGTAGCTGTTTACGAACATACCCTTTCCCCCTGACCTGGTTTGCTGTGCACGGTCCTGTAATCCCTCTGTACTTGTACGTAGGTATCGGCGAGCCCGCTGGAATATAAATATTACCGTATATTGACTTTCGTAACATAATGACCCTTAACATGCGTAGTATCGCAACGTCCACTACAAACCTACTGTACCGCGGGAAGCCCTCGATATGAGGGTCAATACGGCTCGGTCGGCACCAGCTGCACGAACACAGGATAGCAGCTCTCGTAAGCGTACTCGTCCGATCGGTTCGCACTGGGCTGGTAGACGATGACGTCGAACGGGATGTTGTTCTCCCTGCTGTGTCCCTTGCAGAGCGCGAAACGATGCGTGTCGCCGTGCAGCGCGAGCAGTGGGTACTTGGGGTTCCCTCCCGCCGGGGAGGTACCGACCTAAGTTATAGTGGAAATGGTTAGTTCGGCACAAGCAACTGTTGTAGTGGTACACACCACAGCACAGAAGACGGATGCGGGGGGAAGCGGATCACGCGAGACCTCGAAGCTCAAAGCATCGCCTGCGCCGACGTCGGTCGCCGCAGCACCGAGGCCCGTAGAGGCGTTTTGTGCGGCAACGATCCCACCATTCACTAGCCGGAATTCGGGGAACTCGACCCTAGGGTATGTTTCATCCGTCTACAGCCAGACGTGGGCGTTAGCGCAGCGTCCTGAACATCAATATCGTGATGGGAGTTGCTTACCGCGAGCGAGCGCGAATCGTTCCCTGCACTGGACACGGATGGACTCAGGTGAAGGGGTACACCGGTGCTCGTTGCGACGTCGTCCGTCTGGTTGATCGCGGCGATTGTGAAGGGGCCGAGGGTCCCGAAGGCGTTGGTGCCTATGGTGGTCTGACAGCTATCTTGGCCCCGAGGGACTCGAATGCCACGAGGAAGGGCGAGTGTTGAGGTGGCTGCGAGAGCGACAGTAAAGAGAGTGGTGACGAGCATCGTGCGCTATAAGAATTAGAAGAGTAGAGAGTGTCGAAGAGGGAGTGAATCCGAAGACGAAAGGGATTAAACGAGAAGAGTAAGAACTAGGGAACGAGGTTTGAAACAACTCGAGAACACCATTTATACCCGCTATGCTCGAGGAGTCCCATTTTGGGGCTGTGACTGAGGATACCCGAACGGCGGCGGGGGAAGAGGCGTGTTCGGGTCAAATCATGGTCTTGGATCCGAACTTGAAACCGTGCGCATCAGTGCTGTACACCGCACCCATTATGGATGATGCCTGGCTGGATGAAGATGTTAGCAAGATGTTGGAACAATCTTATAATGTGCGTGCGACCATCGTTCCGGGCAACATTCGCACTTCCAACCTGGGTGCGATAATGCATGAAGCGCGTTTACCATCATCCGTGGGGGGAGGATTCCCTTCTTTTGTGGTGTACCGCATGGACACAGTTAGCATTTGTCGACGATGCTCGAGAAATAGACGTTGTATGTCCCGGCCTCAGCATTAAGGTGCAAGTATTTCGCCGATCGCCGGACGACAGAGATGCAGCAGTACTGTAAGATGTTGAGTCATTATCCTGCAAGATTGAGAAAACTGCTGGAAGAATATGATGTAGTTATACATACCTTCCCGGGCTTCCATTTTCGTTCGCGTTGTCAATGAAACATATGTGGGCGGGATCGTGTTACTTGTCATCCTTCAATGGGAACTGAGTGTTCGAGAATTGAGACACCGTGTGTCGTGAATGTGGCTTGTCCATATCTCAAGCTATAAATTCGGAAGAGTTTTCATACAGCATAGGGATGGCAAGAGCAGCTGCGAGAGTGCGATGAAGATGTAAGAGCAGGCTAGAGGCTCTTACGAGGCGCCGAAAAGCGTTCAGTAGATATTCCCAGAAGGGAAGTTGACTTAGTCATCAACGTCATCCGAGACTTCGCCGCCCACGGGCGCTACCGTCACCTTGACCTCGAACTCATCCATCCTCCCAGCGACATTCGCAGCGCGTGGCCTCGATTCTGAATCCAAAGAAGACTTTCTGAGCTGTTCGTTTGGAACGAAGCGTTATGCATATCTCGCGCTGTGATACTTCGGCGCTACCCACCGCCATTCCCATGTACGCCGCACCGCACGTCGACGCGAACCTGTTCGAACCTGAACTCGCCGCCATGGAGCCCATGCACAAGATAGTCTTGCTTTACTCCCACTCTGCCGCGTGACACTTGAAGGGTGCAGATAAAACAACGACAGTGTGTGAGCGACAGCGGCCAGAGAGGTAAGTTGTCATTTGGGGCTCTGGACAAGAGCTGTGATGCGGTATGCCCGGCCCTGTATGACGCTGCTGCGCCCTCTTTGCGCTATACGGGCATCGGGATCACCGTCTTCGCAGATCTCCTTCTCCAGTGGACTCGGAGCCCAGGCTGCCTCATGGCAGAGGGGAGTTCAACGCCGCGGGTATTTTGGTACTGGAGAGTGACGTCAGTGGACTGAAAGGTATAGATGCCAAAGCCCTTGCGCTGCGGCGCTCTGCACACCACATATCGCATCTCTCATTTCTCTCCGGTGCTACGTTTTGACACGATACCCGTCTGGAGACACCTACAGGATATACACCCAGACTTGCTTGACATCAGAGGAATGGCCTACGATTACTACAGAAACTCTGGATCGGGATGGGGCACTTCGCAGGTACGGATCTTGATTGTACAATATCTTGTAGCAGGATGCATGCTCATAAATCAATCAGTTCCAGTTTGCGTCGCCTCCAGCTCCCCCGTTCCGACCCCAGTCGTCATGTAAGTCAGACTGCCAACTGCAATGGCGTGCACATGTTGATCTAGCCTACAGGGGGCGGGATGGACTACTATACCGCCCATGCTGTTAATCCCGATCCGTGAGTCGAGTCTGCTCCACAATGGCGGCTTTTTGGCTGACAACTTTGTAGGTCTCTTTTCCATTCTGTTATGTCTCGCGCGAGCCAGGGCTCAGTAGGCCTCGGCCGGCGTGAAGCTCGGTATTGGCATCGACGAGTATACAGCGGGATGGTCAGTTACATTTTCAACTAACAAGAATTGCATTCATGATTGGTTAATTCTGATATACACAGTCGCCGCTCACACAACTGCTACCAGTCGACATCGGAGCAGCCGCGGCGTACGAAGCATATCGCACGTGGAAGCACAACTCCTTCCTTCACGAGCCACTCGGCTCCGATCCCCTCAGGATGCGAGAAGGATTGGTAGGGATGGCTATTGCGGAAAGTAAGTCTTGTCTCGCGGGCGTACTGTAAGGTCACATCCTCATCGTTCAACTTCAGCAACGCGACTGTGGCAATACGCTGGACGGCCGATGGACACCTTCGGGCTCCGCGCCGCTTCCGAGGCAGCCGCATCAGTGGCCACAGTGCTCTCCGAGAGGGTGCGTCCTATACCCTCGCACACGCGTATTCACAACGCTAATCCCTTACGCAGCTGATGGAATGGACTGGGGGAGGCGCAGGCACCCTCTCATCCGGCGGCGCAGGGCTCGGCGGCGGCTACCGACCTCGCAGAAGCTCGTTCCACGTCCCCTCCGTCATCCGCTCAGGAGGCTCGCCGTACCTCGGCGCAGGCAACCTGGGGATTCCTGGCGGTCCTCCAACCATGACTGCTGGGGGCTTGGGAGGTCCCGGGATGGGCATCGGTGGGGGGAGCTCCAGGGCGTCGTCTATAATGGGTATGGGAGGCGGAGGCGGAGGACTCGGGTACTCGCCGTCTATGTCTCCTTCGCCTATGCCTGGGATGATGGCGGGTGGAGGAATGGGTGGAAGCGCAATGGGAGCTGGAATGGGGGCTGGGATGGGAGCCGGAATGGGAGGTGCCATGGGTGGAGGTATGGGAGGTATGGGCGCAATGGGAGGAGGAATGGCTGGAGGTGGAATGGGAAGAGGGTTTGCTCCAGGTCCAATGCCCGTGCCCGGCGCTGGCTCAGGAATGGGAGCCGGAGCCGGAATGGGCGGCGCCGCTATGGGACTTGGCGCGGCGGGTGGAATGGGTGCAAGCGGTATGCCTCCAGGGGGCGCGTATCGCGCCGGCGGTCTCGGCGCAGGAGGATACGGTGCTGGCACAGGACAGTATGACGGAGTAGGTGCAGGAGCCTACGGCGGCGCACCCGGAGGCGCCGTTCCCTTCCCCGGCGGCGGCCAAGCACAACAACCCGGATCGACCGTCATCATCCAAGATGAGCGTTCACACCATCGACCACGCGCACGACGATACTCGGACTCGTACACGGACAGGCCGCGGCGCAGGCGCTCGCCCAGCTTCGAGCGTCCGCCCGTCGGCTATGGCGCGGGCGGCGGGGACGCTGGCGTAGGTGCAGGTGGTGGATATGGTGCGGGTGCGCCCGGCATGGTTGGTGGGGGCTACAGGGCCGGCGCAGGCATGTACGGCGCAGGTGCAGGAGCTGGGGTGGGAGGTGCAGGGATGGGAGGCGCAGGTATGGGAGGCGCGTACGGTGCTGCTCCGGGGATGGGCGGCGCATATGGTGCTGGTCCAGGGATGGGAGGCGCATACGGTGCACAGGCCGCATATGGGCCTGGCGGTGCGCCGGGGTACGGCGGTATGCCCGGGGGTGCGAGCGGGTACGGCGGAATGCCCGGCGGGTATGGTGGCGGCATGACTGGGTCGTCCGCGTCTGGCTATGGCGGAGAGAGAGGCTTTCCTGGCGGGCCATTCTCGCGTGCGAGGGAGGCTGCTGAGGAAGAAGAATCTGAAGAGGAGGAGATGGGCGGGGGCAGGTTCGGCGGGCTCGCGCAGAAGTTCCGGGCGGGCATGGGTATGGGGCTGAACGCAACTGGGTTGGGGCGTAGAGGGGATTAGTTGGGTTCTTTTTGGTGAGTGAATAAATATTGGTTCTGGTCTCTATTACTCTTGCGGCATTGGACTTGGTACTGATCGGAGTTGTGTTTACAGGGCACCGTGCTTATATCTCGCATACACAAGATATTGTATACCATTGCCACTCCTCAAGTCCACGCTGAACGACAATTATACGACACTACCGGTATGAGTATACGTCTGCATGACTGAATGCCGCGTGACAGATACATGATGAACAAGACAGCTGCAAGCACGACGAATCCCGGATAGGCAAGAGCGATCAAAAGCACCCACAACTATGTCCAGGCTTGTTCAGGGACCTGTGGCGTTCTGACATATGTGACGTGCTGTGTGCTACGATGCTTCTCCGTGATGGCGTTGAGCCAGTGTCTTTCGGTTCATCTCCCGCGGCTTCTTTCTCGATGCCCTCAAGTGCTGTCAAGACCCAACACCACCAGAACCAGCGTACCCGGTGACTACAAGAGCAGCTCTTCCTCGGTCGTCTTAAACACCCTAGTGCCTACAGCAGAAGCAGGTGGGTCAAAAAACGTCGTTTTGAATGCGACAGGCGTGTGTCAAGAATGTCGGGACGGGATGATTCGCCGAGCCGTTCCCTTGAGATCGACCACTACGTCGGTGGCTGACAGCCAGGTATACTTCTTTCACTAAACCGACCACTCCTCCTTCGATCGTTGACGTATCTATAACTTCTCGCGAAGCACAGGGCTTCGGAGACGGACCAAGAGAACGGCTGCGGGGTCGCACGCACGCATATAAAAGACAGCATGGCGCCTCGAATGGCCTCGCGTCCTCCCTCGAATCCCTCTCTTTGCTGTTTACTTGCTGCTCAGCGTGATTTCCGCTTGCCATGGACTATACGTCCCCCAACATGAGCGACTTGTAAGTATTTCTTTGCTTACACTAACCGCATCGCTGACTAGAATTCACTTCACAGAGACAGCCCGAGTCGTATACCCCTTATTCAAACAACTTCTTGACAGTCATGATTGTTAATTGCCGATCCCAATTCACTACATACTGTTCCACGCTGTCAGGACTCAGGAGGCGGCGCATCTGTCGCAGCGTCTCCGTTTACTTACCGGCGTCGTTGTGCCATCATATGTGCATACAGTGCGCAGGTTTTGCTTGTACCCCATCGGTGAGCGCATATAGTAGCGTAAGCCGTTCACTAAGTTACTTACACTTCAGCAGAAAGCAAGGTCAATGATACTCAAGTGTAGGCGTGCCACCCAGACTGAGATCCGTGCTCCCGATGGCAAGACAATAGAGCGGTAAGCGCCCGTGCCACTCGCGTGGAGGACAATAAGACTTGGGTCCGACCCTGATAGAGACCATATATCTTCCTGCGGGTTCGACGTGCCCATCCTTCTGAACCCCCACCTTCGCCACTCGCTGTATTCTCGACGACGTCCTGCCCGACCCGCCCGCTTTGCAACTGGAGGACTCGCTTGTCGGCTACTGGCGCTCGCAAGCATGTCTCGGCGACAATCTCGGCAGCAATGTTCTCAAGACTCGGCATACTCGCAACACACGCAATTGACTGAATGCTACCTTGTACTTTTCGCGCTAGAAATCGTCCGAGGCGCGATGCAATGTATGGCCTCAAGCTAGACGCTGTCTTGCAACAACAACATCGACGGACTACAACCTGGCGACCTTGTCTTGCACTGGCCTTACCTGCTTTAGCCTCCTGCTTGTCTATCTGGTATCACCGACGACGCCCTGACATATGACCCGCTCGTACTCGGGCCGGAAACCCTTTCAGCAAACCGCGTATGGCAAAATCAAAAGGATGACCCGACCTGGTTTCCCGACTTACTATCCTTGGCCTTCCCTTTGAAGCTGCTTATAGCTTAGCCATTCTGACGCATCTGTGAGTTTTTCTGCTTGGAATACAGTTTCTTTCCCACTGACCGGGCGTCCATGCACCTGAACATCACAGCATCACTGATTATCAAACCCGAGCCACCCCCTGGGGTACCTCGGGTTTCTTTGACTTGATCATCCACATACCGCCCGCTACTAATAAATCTAGCAATAATTCCGCCTCTTCCCTTATGTAGAAGGAGCTCCCTCCCCCCTCCTCTGCAGTACACAAGTCCAGAGCGCCCACCCCCGGCTCCGGCAACGTCCGGGCGTTGATATCAGCCACATGGTCGGCTGATGCGGCGCCCCAGGGCGCTCCCCCTTCGGCAGCTGATGTCCGGGCGCCCCCGCCGCCCCGCCCGGCGCTCCCCTCTCCCAAACGCCCGTCGGCATCGTTGCCCACGATGAGCTCGAGTGCCGCCGCCCCCCGCTTCATTTCCCGTCCGTTTTACTTCGTTCT